GTCCACACTCCCTCGCAGACCACCATTCTACACTCGAAGCAGCGGGGGGAAGGAGCCTGATGGATGACAGCTCCAACAAGCTCCAAGGCTATGTGAGATCTTGGTTCATTGCTGTCGTGTATGTTTCCTTTCGCTAAGGACATCCTTTTAGCATCAATATTGGGGTAATTCAGTGTTGCGGTCGCTTGATCGAGGCGTTCGACGATGAAGAGTCCAGACCTAAGGTTACGAGTCTTGCAATCAGACAAGTTGGATTAGATGTATTTGATCTTTTATCACGGGCTCTTACATCCCCTGGCTATATCAAGTCTTCAACTTCGACAGCCTTCACATTCAATCAGGATCACCATCACCAGCATCAGTCCCAATCAATACTTATTGAAACTAAGATGTCATAAAAGAGGCGAATCAGCTCTCCTGCAAGTCGCAAGCACTCCTTCAAAGTACGACCATCACTTCGCGTCCTCTCAGAATGAGTTTGAAATCTTCCAGTGTTGTACTCAGGGACAAGAAACATGCCAGGGTCACTTTGTCCACCAAGTATGTTGACACTGGTGCTCAGCTCGTTGCTGGGTTAACTTCAGCTCTCGATCTCGATGAGGCTTTGAGAATATGATGCGCTGATATAATTGCATGCACATCACAGTCATTCGAAAGCATTTCGTTTCAGGAGGAAGATCGATAGACATATCACGCCTCTGATGTGTGGTGAGTAGACTGCTGTGCTCAGTTGTTTGAATCGATTGCATCTGACAATCACTGTTCAGTTCTTTACGGGTAGGCTAGGTTGACTATATTCACTACAAATGAGCGCTTACATATACATAGGATCTAATTCATGGACAAGACAACCTTGGGTTCTGCAGCCATACTTGGAATTCAGTAAGGATTGTATGTCGAGATCAGCCAGACCCGATACTGACGCGTGGTACCAGGAAGGCAACGCACCTGACCACGGATGTGTGAGCTATTCTTATTCTTGCTCTTGCAGGCAAAAGTCTGAATGTCAACTTCTCCAGATACAATCGGTGAGAAGATATGTATCGCTCGAGCTTGCAAGTAACTCACGCTATCTTGAGGTTGGGCACGGTGTTCTATCTCAGCTATCTTGTCTTTGAGTATCCCCAGAACCTTGCCCTTCAGAGATTCCCCGCTGGGAAGTGGATGAGGTAGGCTTCACAGACGTTATCAATTTGAGTGTCAATGACAGCTTGTTCCAGTATCAATATCTTCGTCTGGGCAGTTGCACTTGCATGTCATGCAGCATGCAAAAGCTTTTTTGGGCTTGTTGTTGTGCGCATGTTACTAGGTGTATGCGAGGGACCAATCACTGCTTGATTCTTGATTGTTAACCCCATGTTCTACATGCAAACAGAACAGACGCTGCGGGTTGGTCATTGGTGTAAGTCTCCATTGACAAATGATCGGCGAAGTCGACTAATTAAGAACATAGTTCTGATGAATGGCACATGTGCACTTACTAAAACGCGATGGTTGATGTTTGCCGACGTAGCCAACGAACTCTAGGACAAATCATCTCTGGTTTCATTAGCTTTGGTACTTTGCACATCAACACCAAAGGGTTCGAACCATGGCAATGGTCTGGCATTTATTTTTATTACTCCCGATTCTATCTGATAGATCACAGGCTCATGATCATGACCAGTGTAATGATGTTGATACTTGCCATCACATTCTGGTGAGTCTATTCCCAGTGCCTAATATCCTTAACCAATCCACATAATGCAGTAACATATACCCGTCTCAGACGGGCAGCTGGGCGTGACAATGTGCTGATAGAGACGGGCCACCCGGTGCCGGCCCATGGCAATAATTGTATCATGTTAGATGAGTGGGCCAAGGGGGTGGAGTGTCCAAGGCAAACGGATGGGCTGGGTGTATATAGTATAGATGGTAGTATAGTGATGTACTATATAGGAAATTATGAATAGTAGTAGTGAATCCAGTGTGTGATAGATGAGTGGGCTGGAGGAATGGAGTGCAATATAGACAAGTGGGCCGGTACATAAGGTGCAATGAAGACGAGGGGGCCAGAGAATAGGGTGCAATAGAGACAAGTGGGCCGGTATAGCAGGTGCAATGGAGACGGGTGGGCTGGTATAGCAGGTGCAATGGAGACGGGTGGGCCGGTAAAGGAGGTGCAATGAGGACGAGTCGGCCGGCGTTATTGGGTGCAATGAAGATGAGTCGGCCGGTGATATGGGGTGCAATGAAGACGAGTGGGCTGGTGATATGGGGTGCAATGAAGACGGGTGGGCCGGCATGATAGGGTGCAATGGAGACGGGTGGGCCGGTATTATGGGGTGCAAACAACGACCGGTATTTATGTAAACCGGTTGCTTGTGGTAACATAGCACTAATCCGGCGATTCCACCGGTGGTCTGATCATGTAAAATGGTTAAGATTTGACAAAGTTATGAGCCTACAAGAAAGATAAATTTAGAGGATATATGATATTGTATCTAGACCATTGACCGGTATTTTTGACCGGTATTTATGACCGGTTGCTTGTGGTAACATAGCACTCAATCCGGTGATTCCACCGGTGGTCTGATCATGTAAAATGGTTAAGATTTGACAAAGTTATGAGCTACAAGAAAAGTCACAAATTCAGAGGATATATGATATCTAGACCATTGTGACCGGGATTTTTCAACCGGTAGTTATGTGACCGGTTGCTTGTGGTAACATAGCACTCAATCCGGTGATTCCACCGGTGGTCTGATCATGTAAAATGGTAAGATTTGACAAAGTTATGAGTGCTACAAGAAAAGTCAAATTTCAGAGGATATATATCTAGACCATTGTGTCCGGTAGTTATGTGACCGGTTGTTGTGGTAACATAGCACTCAATCCGGTGATTCCACCGGTGGTCTGATCATGTACAATGGTCAAGATTTGACAAAGTCATGAGCCCTACAAGAGAAAGTCATGAATTTAGAGGATATATGATATCTAGACCATTGTGACCGGTATTTTTTGACTGGTAGTTATGTGGACCGGTTGCTTGTGGTAACATAGCACTCAATCCAGCGATTTTACCGGTGGTCTTATCATGTAAAATGGTTAAGATTTGACAAAGTTATGAGCCTTACAAGAGAAAGCCACACATTCAGAGGATATTATGATATATTGTATCTAGACCCATTGTAACTGGTATTTTTTGACCAGTATTTATGTGACCGGTTGCTTGTGGTAACATAGCACTCAATCCGGTGATTCCACCGGTGGTCTGATCATGTAAAATGGTCAAGATCTGACAAAGTTATGAGCCTTACAAGAGAAAGCCACACATTCAGAGGATATGTTATATCTAGACCAGTGTGTCCTCCAGCTCTACCTTAGGGTAGTTTACCTCTGTTCCATTTCTTACTCCAGACTTGTCCACAGCAGTCTTACTCTGGGTTTCCTTGAACCTTGGAGTTCCAGCCTGAACTCCCCTAGTGTCTGACCTCCGGAAACCTCTGGACTTTGTTGGACTTCCCTCCTGCCTCTCATAAATTAAGGGCACATACTGGGTAAGGGGTGCAGCACACAAGCTGAAGTCAAGCCCTTTGAGTTCTCCTTCCTTTGAGCATGACCTTAACATCCACAGACAAAACCTTGTGATGCTGTGTACTCACCCTCTCCTGGTGGGTCCATCCTCTGGGAAAGATTTTCCTACAGGAACACAGCTGCAGAATGATATGGGGACCATTCCTAGACAGATTTAGAGTATGTACACCAGGTTGGTACATCAGGATACCTACAGAATCCTTCTATACAGGCTAAAACTTCTAAGATTGCAGTTGTCACATTTTTGGTGTTTTCCCCTACTTTACCATTGCATAAATGATCCAGACTACTCATGTATTATCCTTACTACATATATACCTACTTCTCATCCCAAGGATCAGTTAGAAATATGGTATAATATTGTTATCTAAGGGAAAGGGGGTATGTGTACTGATAAGGGGTCTACATTCTCCAATGGACACAATCTAGTAATCAGATGCTTGCAATATATTCTAAGCATGGTCAATATCATGGTCTCAGATTTATAAAAGGATCCACTAACAGTTGAGAGCTAGGGCAGTGAAATATCTCTGAAATAGAGTGTGGGAAAGTCCAAAAGCCCAAACATCGAAACTCACCAGTTGGTGTATATGTAGTGGTTGGACTTTTACTTACCAATTCTAATATTTCCTCACCACACTCTTCTACAAAGACTTTACCTTCAGGGCAATGTGTATTTTAGGTTCATTATGTAGTCTACTATACATACTACTGCATTTTTAATAAAATCTTTGGTGTGTGTGATATGTGTCAGTGACTTTCAGTGACAGGGGTAAATTGTCATATGTCAAGCCTATGTTGTTTTACTTATCTTACCGTCAATACTTGAGGGATCTTTCCAGAATTTTAGGACCATGACTAGGGATATACATGGGACATATCCCAAGTGTCTGATTACCAATAACATCCTTGATAGTGTTGGAGGGTTCTTATCAGTTATGTTTTCATGTATATATGCTATATTGTTTGATGTAGCCCTTCAGGGGGTCAACTAAGTGGTGGAATATGTTAATATATACTCCTAAATATGTTTTGACAGTGCTAGAACACTCTCCTATCAAAGGGGCAAAATGGAATCCCCTGATTGAGTGCTACATTACCACAAGCAACCGGTTGCAAAAATACTGATTATAATGGTCCAGATATAAGCTGATACAACACTGTATCCTTTGAATTTATGACTTGGTCTTATAAGGCTCAGAACTTTATCAAATCTTAACCATTTTACATGATCAGACTACCGGTGGAATCACCAGATTGAGTACTATATTACTGCAAGCAACTGTTCACAAAAATACCGGTCACAATAGTCTAGATATAACATCCTCTAAATCTGTGGCTTTATCTTGTAAGGCTCATAAGTTTGTCAGATCTTAATGATTTTGCATGATCAGACCACCGGTGGAATCACCGGATTGACTGCTATGTTACCACAAGCAACCGGTCACATAAATAATGGTCAAAAAATACCAGTTACAATGGTCTAGATACAATATATCATAATATCCTCTGAATGTGTGGCTTTCTCTTGTAGGCTCATAACTTTGTCAAATCTTGACCATTTTACATGATCAGACCACCGGTAAAATCACCGGATTGAGTGCTATGTTACCACAAGCAACCGGTCACATAACTACCGGTCAAAAAATACCGGTCACAATGGTCTAGATATCATATATCCTCTGCCAGTGAATTTGTGACTTTGTCTTGTAGCACTCATAACTTTGTCAAATCTTGACCATTTTACATGATCAGACCACCGGTGGAATCACCGGATTGAGTGCCATGCTACCACAAGCAACTGGTCACATAACTACCGGTTGAAAAATCCCGGTCACAATACTGTAGATATCATATATCCTCTAAATTCATGACTTTCTCTTGTAGGGCTCATGACTTTGTCAAATCTTGACCATTTTACATGATCAGACCACCGGTAAAATCACCGGATTGAGTGCTATGTTACCACAAGCAACCGGTCACATAACTTCCGGTTGAAAAATCTCGGTCACAATGGTCTAGATATCATATATCCTCTGCCAGTGAATTTGTGACTTTTTCTTGTAGCACTCATAACTTTGTCAAATCTTGACCATTTTACATGATCAGACCACCGGTGGAATCACCGGATTGAGTGCTATGCTACCACAAGCAACTGGTCACATAACTTCCGGTTGAAAAATCCTGGTCACAATGGTCTAGATATCATATATCCTCTGCCAGTGAATTTGTGACTTTTTCTTGTAGCACTCATAACTTTGTCAAATATTAACCATTTTACATGATCAGACCACCGGTGAAATCACCGGATTGAGTACTGTTACTAGAAACAACCGGTCACATAAATACCGGACACAATGGTCTAGACATGATATATCCTCTGAAATTGTCACTTTCTCTTGTTGTAAGGCTCATAACTTTGTCAAATCTTAACCATTTTACATGGTCAGACCACTGGTGGAATCACCGGATTGAGTGCTACATTACCACAAGCAACCGGTCACGTAAATACCGGTCAAAAAATACCGGTTGCAATGGTCTAGATACAATACATCATAATATCCTCTACATTTATGGCTTTCTCTTGTAGGGCTCATAACTTTGTCAAATCTTAACCATTTTACATGGTCAGACCACCAGTGGAATCACCAGATTGAGTGCTATGTTTTACTATAAACAACCGGTCACATAAATACCGGACACAATGGTCTAGACATGATATATCCTCTGAAATTGTCACTTTCTCTTGTTGTAAGACTCATAACTTTGTCAAATCTTAACCATTTTACATGGTCAGGCCACCGGTGGAATCACCGGACTGAGTGCTATGTCACCACAAGCAACTGGTCACATAACTACCGGTTGAAAAATCCCGGTCACAATGGTCTAGATATGATATATCCTCTGACTTTGTGACTTTCTCTTGTAAGGCTCCTAACTTTGTCAAATCTTAACTATGTTACATGGTCAGACCACCGGTGGAATCACCGGATTGAGTGCTATGTTACCACAAGCAACCGGTCATGTAAATACCGGTCAAAAAATACCGGTTGCAATGGTCTAGATACAATATATCATAATATCCTCTAAATTTATGGCTTTCCCTTGTAGGGCTCATAACTTTGTCAAATCTTAACCATTTTACATGATCAGACCACCGGTGGAATCGCCGGATTGAGTGCTATGTTACCACAAGCAACCGGTTACATAAATACCGGTCATTGTTGCACCCCATAATACCGGCCCACCCGTCTCCATTGCACCCTATCATGCCGGCCCACCCGTCTTCATTGCACCCCATATCACCGGCCCACTCGTCTTCATTGCACCCTATATCACTGGCCCACCCATCTCCATTGCGCCCTATAATGCCGGCCCACCCGTCTTCATTGCACCCCATATCACCGGCCCACTTGTCTTCATTGCACCCCATATCATCGGCCAGCTCGTCTTCATTGCACCCCATATCACCGGCCGACTCGTCTTCATTGCACCCAATAACACCGGCCGACTCGTCCTCATTGCACCTCCTTTACCGGCCCACCCGTCTCCATTGCACCTGCTATACCGGCCCACTCGTCTTAATTGCACCATATTTACCGGCCCACCCATCTCCATTGCACCTGCTATACCGGCCCACCCGTCTCCATTGCACCTGCTATACCGGCCCACTCGTCTCAATTGCACCCTATTCTCCGGCCCCCTCGTCTTCATTGCACCTTATGTACCAGCCCACTCGTCTCCATTGCACCTCATTTACCGGCCCACTCGTCTCCATCACACCCCAGTTCCCCGGCCCACTCGTCTATATTGCACTCCATTCCTCCGGCCCACTCATCTATCACACACTGGATTCACTACTACTATTCATAATTTCCTATATAGTACATTGCTATACTACCATCTATACTATATACACCTGGCCCATCCGTTTGCCTTGGACACTCCACCCCCTCGGCCCACTCGTCTAACACGGTACAATTATTGCCATGGGCCGGCACCGGGTGGCCCGTCTCTATTGGTACATTGTCACGCCCGGCTGCCCATCTGAGACGGGTATATGTTACTGCATTATGTGCTCAGCAGGACTAGCCCTGCAATGTCCGCCCAACTCTGCTCCACTCCTCCAACACTACCTCTATTTCCTCTGACACCATATCCCTACCATCCGACCCTATCTGGAGCTCTGCTCCTCCGCTCTGTCGGTCCACCTGATCCTATTCCTACTCCCTCCACCATCTCCGCTTTTCCAACCCACTTGGTTCCTCCAGTTTCTCTCATATCAGTCCCCCCAACTATTAGTCTGTCCGACCGCCTCACCAGTCCACTTCTAGACTAGGAACTACTCAACTGGTCCTACCTCCTTTTGGTATCATAGTTCCTCCTTTCAGATCACTGGTAATCCCTATACCCAAGTGATTATTGATCCATCACGTACATACTGTTCTCCAAGCCTCTTTCTTGTATGTCTCAGTCATCTTTCTAGTAATTCTGTACACTCAGCACATAGCCTTCTGCTATGCTATGCTACTTACTTAGAGTATATAAACATATGTACATCTGTCTGTAGATCCTCAGTCTGAATATTACCTTTTCTAAGCCCTGCTCTCTTTTCCTTGTTCTTGGGCATTACCCTTGAGAACTCCTGCTTGCCAGCCTAGGGGATTGACTCCCTATGTTGGCTGCCTTCTCTGTTTATCCAACTTCCTGCACCTTGTCCGCCTTTCCCACACCTCAGACTTGAGCCCAGTACTCTTGTACATCCGTCCTCTCCACTTCCGCTCTGCTTCAGACTTCATCCAAGTAGTTCTATCTGCTCCACTCCTACTGTTAGTTCCAACTGCAGTAGTCCTCTGACCCTCTCCTGTTGGGCGGACCAACCTCCACCCAATGTTCCCACGCCCACCTGGTAGTCCATCAGCCCTCCTTTGGAGAGCCTTCCCTCTGATGTCCTGTCAGAGCTCATAGAACTCAAGTTGGACTACAATCTGAAATTAGGGGCATGTACTCAGGTAAGGGTGCAGCACACAAGCTGAAGCCAAGCCCCTCAGACTCTGCCTTACCCCTGAGCATGGTCTTAACAGTACCCCAAGGCACGGTGTATGGCCTGAAGCCAGGCCTTGCACATCACTACCTCAGACAACCCTCTTTAGTTCTCAGGAAACTATCTTTCACATTTTTACTGTATAGATGTGTTATTATGATTAAATTGAATGTTTTCAACCAGGGAGCATTGTTCTGGGGCCAGTGGATGAGGTGCAGGAGCTATGATACTGGTCTAGCCTCCATACAACCTTTGTACACTTCATGTAAGGCTTGCGAACCTATGTAGATCTCAAAAAGAATTTGATCTTATTTCATGTGATATTTAGGGGTGTAGTGAAAGAAAAAATATGTTAAAACAATGTAGTACTCGAGCTCACTGTTTCCCACAGCGAGTACGAACATCTCAGCAATGTGCGAAGTGATGTTAAGTGTGGTGAGTCGTGGGACAAAGGTCATGTGACGTGTCGGGCGGCGGTTGAGCTAGGTAACTTTCTATCTATGGATCGTTTAACGATGTGTCCATCACCGATGCTGGTGTCGATAATCTTGCATCCCTCGAAGCTGCTGGTGGTGTCATGCTAGTTAGTATCACTACGCCATCAACACTGCGACGTCTGATCGATATTTTACAGAGGAACCCACTGGCCTCATGAGCTCTGTTTGCTCAGGTTTTCTTGCCTGTCACGGTCATCAGCGAAATCCAGGGTAACATCAAGGTGGGCGTCTCAATGCAAGATCACTGATTAGGTCGCTCATCCAACTCCTCTACCAGAAAGCCTGTGACCAGTACAATGCAGTCTCGTCACTGTCCGCGATACTAGAGAAACTGGTGGCTAGCGAGAATACAAACATAGTGGGAAGCGCGACAGAGGGCCTCCGAGTCATCTGACTTCTTCGTTCCCTCGCTTTCACGTGCAAATCCCTTCAGCAAGCACAGAGAAACCCATCTGAGGAGCTCAAAGTCGTCTTCACGAAGGGATACGATATCACTCTCAGGCATATACACCGCGGCGGAGGATTTTTCACTGTATACGGAGCTATGATGAAAGCTGCAGGGTTGATGTTCAACATTCATCATTAATTTCTCGGCGATGCATAATTTGATTTCGATTTTTGTGCGTCGTAGACCGCTATTGGATATTGCCCGCCCCGCAAAAAATTCTATGAGAAGCTCGCAGCCAACCCAGGTGGAGAGCCATCCTCGCAGGAGACGCTCGACAAGGCGCTCAACGATTGGCTCTCTGCCCTGGATATCATTATCTCGAGAATGGACGCGTGCTACATGAAGGGGAAGCATGGAGATGTCGATTTCCTTGCGGAGTCTGTTATTCTGGCAATTCGTGCGATCTCCAGGACAGGATATAGCGCGGATATCGTGATTGAACTCATTCATCTACCTGCCAGAGCGATCCGGTCACTTATTATATCCGCTGCGACTGTTCTCATCGTCCAATCCATCGAGCGCATAGGTGTTGCGTGGACGGACATCATCGCTGCTCTCCTTGAGTCGGAAGATAACGTGTAGTTCGAGGGCACATTATTTTTTCAATATTTATCTAACGCCGCACCAATTTCAGAACTCGCTGAGAATACACAACGAAGCTCTAGCTTCTTCATTACCTCGAGGCAGCAAAAACCTAAAAACCACTTCGGTGAGCCACTCTGCACCTCTGACGAGTGCTTCTTCCGATCCGTAACTATACCACTTATGTATCTTGATAAGGATGACGTTTTCATCTGATGTCACCCTGATTCCTGGCGGGGGCTGGTCATGTTAAATGATATAAAGCTCTTCCGCGCTGTATGCAAGGCTCAGCTAGCGATTCAAGGTGGTTTCAGAAGAAAGACCCCTGCTGATGTCCGCCCTATCTATGACAGTTTCGCGCCAGATCAGAAGAGGTGGATCGTGTTTCTCGTTTCTTTTGTGGGTTTGTTGTCTAATGAAGTGTACGGCTGCAGAGATGCGATGCCAATGAACGTGGTTCGATCAGTGTTCGGCTCAGCGGACACTCCGTGTGGTGACTCATCGTAGGGATGCTGATCGATATATCTGTGTGGGCCGTTTTTATGCTATCGGATGTCAGTATGATAATTATCTTTCAATGATATTTATGAACTGATTCTTGCGGTGCGTTCAAAATAGGACTAATCACAACGTATGTTGGCAGTCCTATCAGTCTTCAGTCGGGTTTGTTGTGTCTTCTAATGAACGGAATGCGGGTAAGTCATCGCAGCTAGTTCCTCTCCCTATGCAATAGCTCATTATTTGATTCAAGATTCTGGCAGCATGCTCACCGTACCTCATCATTTGGTTTCTTGCGCTTGCTGTGACCATCTCAGACATTTCATCCAGTGCTCACCTACATGTTTTGTTCTTACAACCGCAAATCTGGACTATCCGTGGCCAAATAGATCCAATGATCGCAACTCACAAACGACGCTCTGAACTCGAAGGGAACATGACCCGCATGGCGCTGTTCTCAAGGGCCAACGGGTGCTAATTATGCATAAGGTCGTCGATCTACACTGTGTATATATAAATGCTATCTCAAGCAGACGACAGCCCGATATTCCAAACGTTAGTAACACTGCTTACAATTACTTAGTACTGACGATGTTCGCTATCGTAGAGCCACTACTATATGTAGACAGTCTCCAGGTACTCACGACCAATGTAAAAAATGTCGTTACTGTTAATTTTCGGGAATTTGACCTCGACCAAGCCCCCTTCTATCGCCTCCCACGGACACAGCTCCCGCTGCGGGGGAGAGACAAATCGAAGCCCAACACAGCTGGCAGGTCTTGAAGGAGGGTCGGGTGGGGTGTCGTCAACACTTTTCATCAAGATGAAGCCAGCCGACTTGCCCGAGATCTTTAGGACTTCGCGCGACCCATCACCGATAAGGGAATAATTGACAATCCCGACTGCATAGTGCCTTCCGGGCTCTTTGAAGGTGTGGCCGTAGCCCGGGTTGTAGGGACTTTTAATATTAATCTTGAGGGCTGGACACAGCGAGCATTCAAATTTCAGGATTTCCTTATCCCCCGAGAGATAAAAGGAATGGAAATTGAGAGGGAGCATCACTAGAGGCACTCGCAGTCCAAGACTGGTCATAGTCATCTCCAGTTGGCCACGGTAACTCAAAAGTCCATCGCCCACGAAGCACCGTGGCGATTGAGGAATAGCACGCGAATAGTTGCAATAACTTGCAGACTCGCCCTTCCAGTTGAGGACAGAAGGGTCACCAGCCTGCATGATGGCTTCGATGAGCCTGCCAAAGGCGCTGTCTCCTCCTTCTCCATACGCGATCTGCATGCTAACGCGAAATATTCCCATCAGGGAGTAGGCCACGTCTTCAACCCTTGTTGTTTTGCGTTTGGCTGCCCACGTCATCCGTTTATCCACGTTGGATGGAGATATATTATTGAAGCGACGGAGATCACCATGAGGGATGCCAGTGGCTCTGTTCAGAGTATCCATCATCTTGGAGTGATCTTTGTCGTTGTTATTACGAGTGATGGCTATCCAGCGCTTGTTAAAGAATTTGATACGGATAGGTGCAAGGAGTTCCTGCAACGTCCAGCCTCTCTCCATCCATTCATCATGCAATACATCCTCGATGGTTTCGCTTTGCGCCAGATAGACGATGCAGACGTGCGAGTTGCGATACCACTTGAACATGGAACGAATCGACTCGTCGAGTTCGGCACTGCTGCTCTTGTCGATGCAGCACGTGTCCGACCACGCAAATTCCGCACCGCACTCCTTGGCCTTTTCGCAGAAATTCATCAGCTTTTCGAGTCCTGGAGTTTTACGCGCGGACTTCTTCATCTCTTCAAATGTAGCGTAGGTGGGCTCTCCTTGGCCCCATCGGTGAGACAGAGTGGCATATTTGACAGTTTCGGACGGGGGACCGTCAGACTGGAGAAAACGCGCCTTGAAGTGCTCCCTCACATCTTCGCGACTAACAAGGGCCATGTCTGATAGGCGCACGAGGTGGATTGGGATGTAGTTCATCACATAATTATCAAGGTCATGTAGGCGTTCTTTTTCGGTCTGACGCATGACAAGATACTACTATCGCAAACTACAATGAATTCGTGGGTCAAAATGATGTGGTGTGCAACACCTCTCACCTGCGTGCCACAACGTCACGGTCAAGAGAAGTTCCGCCGATGCGGCGTCGACTGCAAGATGATGTAGCGCTGCAAAGTCTCTGCGATCGCAATCAGCTGCAAATTATTAGGTGAACTTCAGCATCTCAGCCTACGGCCAAACATTTACGCACCTCAGGCGAGTAGCAAAGTCGCCGATAGGATGGATATGATACAACCCGTTACGATCTGTTCATCGATGTTGATCGTCAACTAAACCATCCTAAATACTGATTTGCGACATAGTGGAAAATCTACCTTGGGTTGGTGATACGAGCAGAGATGCGTTTAGGAGTGAGATCAAGATGGCCTGGACACACGAAAATCCGAACAAACGACATTCTGTACGAGAACGCTGAAATTGGAGAACTCGAGACGAGTATGATTGAACGATAGATCATTCTAGATCAAATGATCAAGTTGATTCGTATGCAGCGCCACGCTGGACAAGGTAAGTACAATCATCCAATCCATCGTGAATGTCCCGTGCCGCGATGGAAGCAGACAGCATTGAGCCCAGTGTCTCAAGATCTCAAGAGTCGTGCTCGGATAGGAAACTGAGAGAGGAACGTGGGATTCAAATTGGAAGGACGATCTCAAATTGGCTCGCCCAACTTCTCAACTTCTTTCCCGAAATGGAGGGAAGTCCAGCCTTGATTCAAAGCCGTTGCATGGCGTTCGTTCAGCAGCTTCAGCTCGTAACCAGTGAACATCCCAGAGTGCTCGTCGCCACCTTCTCCCATTTCGTCGTCAACCGAAGCTTCATCATTATGCACTGGTTACAGCTCTTTGCATAAAGGATGGCACCGGCGTGAAATTTTCGTTCAATTAGGAAATGTTAGACTTAGTGAAATTTTGCTCATTGTACACTCACATCCCCTGTAATTCATTATCATCATGCCGTTTATAACTATTCCTGCCTCCAAAAAACACAAGAGCCTGCTAGAGCATGACAGTGACCTTGATTCCAATGGGTCCGATGAGGACGATATTCGACATCGCTGGTTTCGTGCCAGAGCTTCAAAATCCGAAAGCCAAGTGCGTCTGGAAAATCCGCAGCAATCTAGGATATCACGAAGGCTTAGAAGGTTCCGTTCATGGAGTCGGATTGCCGCAAGTTTCACATCACGACTGATCTTGCGAAATCCCATGTTGTGAAGATGATAATATAAGGGTAGTATGAGCGTACACGAGCAAAATTTCACTAAGTCTAACATTTCCTAATTGAACGAAAATTTCACGCCAGTGCCATCCTTTATGCAAATAGCTGTAATTTGTAGTTGTTTGATTCAGAATTCCAGGACGAAGTAAGGGAACTCCGCCTCAATGTGCCAACGCATCTGTGTCAAGTTCGGAGCCACCCTTGCACACCTCAAGCAAGAAGCACAGGCAAAGATGCCGAGCTCCGTGCTGCGAACAAGGAGACCGAATACCTCGGAAATTAGGTCTATCCACTCGAGGACGATGCAGAACGCCGCACACCATCTGTCATTTCAATGGTGGAATATCATGTAGAACACAGCTGGATTGAAAATCCCAGCTTCTCCACGAACTCTACGACCAATCTCTCCAGGACATCCACGCGAGTGCACACAGCCCCACAGGAAGAGCTAGCGCGACATATCGAAGATCTCACAGTCAATGGGGAATACAAGCAAGAAGCTCTGGAGAGCCTTGAGCGAGGGCTCGACGATGCAGGGGGACACACGAGTCCGGGCAGTCGAGGACAGAGACTCCGCACTCAACAGCACCTTCGACGACCTCTTCCGCCAGCCGCAAACTTGTGCATGCGAGGAAGGATGTCGGCGAATGAGAGAGCACGACGCGCAATCGTCAGATCTGGTTCATAAACCACAGCTTGAAGTGCAGCAGCTTACCACTAGCTCACCCCCGAACTCAGTGCGTCTCAACCTCAAGAGCGCTGATGCGGAGCTATTTTTATTCACTTTTGAGATCCTGTAGTTAATTGGTATCGCATGTCTTGTCCTTCTTTTTTCTTTTTTTGTTGAAACGATCAGTCCTGATCAAGTCCTGACTCACACAGTAGTGGGGAGGTCAGATGGGGAGCTCTCGCTGACGTATGTAGAGGCGGCGATATGACTCAGAAGATAACGCGTATTAAAGCAGCGTAACACGTTGGCAAACGCTGCACCAGATTAAAAACACGCCACTTAAGAAACAACCTCCAGCTTCTTCATCACCTCGAGGCAGCAAAGACCAAAAAAAACCGCCTCGGCTACCCATCCTAAACAGTGAGTTTTAACTTTTGATGCTTCCTCCGGTCCGTCGCGCTTGTCTTGAGGGGTCACAGGATGACTTTTTATTATGTACCACCCTAGTCCCTAGCGAGGGCTAGGCATGAAAATTAGTATAAATCATTTCCGCGCTGTATGCGAGGCTCACCTCGCGATTCACGATGATTTCAGAAGAAACCTCTTTGCTCACGTCCAGTACGCATGAAGCCATTTATAATAGGTTCAAGCCAGATCAGAAGAGGTGGATCGTGTTCCTCGTTTCTATAGTGGGTTTATTGCCGAGTGAGTACAGGGACTTCGAGTGAAGACATTACGCAGTACTAATCAACGTCGATCAGTGTTCGTCTCAGCTACATTCGTGCCTTCCATCCCTCAAATAGCCAAAGATCTCAATTCGACACATGCTATCGTAAGGTGCGTTTTATATGTTGGCCAGATGTAACATTTGGCGATCGAGCAATTTTCTAGCTTGACCGTCAGTTTGTCGATCTTTGCGAGTGCTGTCGGAGCGTTGGTTTGGGCATCGTATTCCTCTTTCTGTGCGTGCATCCAGTCGTGATTATTCGTAGCTTCAAGTTCCTAACAGCAGTCCTGCAGATGGACGCCGATCGATGTATTTGTGCGGAATTCCGTTTTTATGCATCGGGAGCTGTGGTGTCGCGATGTCGACGTCGTTGCATAGTCTGTTATTCTGGCGATTTGTGCAGACATTTGGCTGCTCTGGGGGAATGTCGTTGGGTGCTGGTGTCATTGGCGACATTTATAAATTGGAGGAGAGGGGGACTGCTATTGGGATATTCTTCGGTGTGAGAAATGACCAAATGGTTTATTCGTTGTGGGTACTGACCCGGCTGTCGCAGGCCACGCTTTTTGGATTCGCTGTTGCCCCGTTTCTTGGTGGTAAGTATCACATCCATATACTCTGGTCATTGATGACTCTAACGATGTACTCGAACAGGTGCTGCGGCACAGTACTGGTCCTGGCGTAATTTGCACTATTCCCTTGGTGCATGGGGCTTGTTTGAGATCCTTCTGATATACCTTGCGTTTCCTGAGACGAGCCATCCCGGTACAATGGGCATTGATAAACTGACGCGCAGGAGATGGATCCATATCACATGGGTCAATCCTCTGAGTAGTTTGTGGCTGCTTCGCAGTCCGAACCTATTTGCGGTTGTAAGTGCATCTACTATGTAACTTGCGCGTTGGATACAAACTCGTACATCCTGTGTACTACAGATGCTTGCGTCGAGTCTTGTGCTCATTAGTGACTATGGTGAGTTGATACGAAATTCTTCAGCGCATTCTCACATGAAATAATGTAGTTCTCCTTGTACCGCTGGCGTATACCATTGTAAGATGATTATCATCTTATATATCCCATCCTGATCGCAGTGCAGGGCGTCCGGTACGGCATCGCGAACGAGGCCATCATCGGAGCGTGTTTTCTCCCCAACGGACTGGGAAACTTCAGTAAGTGCAGATTATTATAGTCACTGATCACCAACGTCATCTTCGATAGTCGGGGCCCCGCTTGCTGGCCGCCTGTCGGATATCGTCGTCAGAAGATGGCGAGAGAAGCGCAAAGGAGTATGGTTTCCAGAAGACCGCTTGAGAGCGACATGGATCGGAGGTCTATTTATGGTGCCATTGTCCATTGGGGCGTCGGGGCTGATCACGACGTATGTTGGTGGTCCCATCGGCCTTTCATTAAATTTATTGTGTCTTTATCTGAATGGAATGGGGGTAGGTCCTCTAATTTCTCTTCCTGTGTATAAATTAGCTCACCGATTTCAGGTCGACTTCGTGTTGAACCCAATTGGTTCTTATAATGTGGATGTAGTGCACTCTCGAAGCGCAGAGATCACAGCAGCTAGCGTGTAAGTCTCCATGATGTAGCGGGGATATCGAACGTGAATTGATTCATTTACCTACTAGAGCGATCAGATCACTTATTCTATCTGCTGCGACTGCTCTCGTCATCCCATCAATCGAGCACATAGGTGTTGGGTGGACGGACATCATCGCTGCTATCCTTGCGCTCATCGGACAAGGGTGAGGACCTTTTTGACTGCGTGGTCGGGGGTCGAGAATACTTACATAGTAACGCTTCGATTTTTTTCTTAGGATCATTTTCTTGACGATTCATTATGGCGATCGCATGAGGGCCAGCGTGGACGTTGGTTTCTCGACTCTAGAGAATAATTGATAAATTGAAGGACAGGAGGAGCTTTGTTTGCACTTAGAAGAAATATTAGGCGTCGTTCAAATTTCCAATAGACAGACTGATTTCGGGTCATCTTGAGCGAAGCTGCTCGCACGGGGGCAGAGTTCACGAAGTTTAATGATGTACTTCATAGGTATGTGTCAACAGTTACTAGTTACTCGGGAGTCGGGAGAAAGTCTAACCTTCTGCGGGCTCGGTGGGTCTCTCCTGGGAGTCAACCGCTCACATATATATTCTATACAGACCAAATATTCCCAGAGTCTCTGCAGAATCTCCTCAACTGTGCTGTATGCTCTGTTATTAAGTACTTCCACTATACCTGATCCCACTGAGACATTACGGCAGAAGGAACAAGCTGATCGAGGACGAGCTTATCAATCTTTGTTGCAGTAGTTCTCGCCAGCGGATTCGAGCTGGCATTGACCATGCTTCGCAAGGTAATGTTTGTCCCATGTCAAATTGTCGTTCAGGGGCTGGAGAAGCAGTCTGGCAGACCGCGGCTATGGGTAGCGCCTCCGCCGCCGCCGGTGAGATAGATGGCAAGCACGACATATTCACTGGCAGTGGAGAAGCAGCGTAGTGCTAGGATGGTCAGTCGCTCTGCGATGGCGGGATGCGGGCTCAACTGACCCGGCAACCTCCCGGGCCGAGTGACCCACTTCACACTGCCATCTCAGAGTCACACAGACTTCAATATGACATTGACACGGAGTCTCGTCCAGTCTGTGCAGAGTTCAAATCACAGGCAGACTGGCCAATTCCCAGGCTTTCTGCCTAAATCTCTTCCGCGCTGTATGCTCTGCAGCTCAGTTCGCCATTGAAGATGGTTTCAGAAGAAAGCCTCCTTCTGACGTCTACCGCGCATGAAGTTATTTATGACAAGTTCAAGCCAAAAAAGAAGAGGTGGATCGTGTTTCTCGTTTCTTTGGCGGGTTTGTTGCCCAGTAAGTACTGGGAGTTAAAAAGTGCACTGCTAGTGCAGACATACTGATGCACGTGGTTCGACTCAGTGTTCGTCTCAGCGACATTCGTTCCTTCCATCCCTCAAGTAGCTAAAGAACTCGATTCGACGTATGCTGTTGTTAGGTGCGTGTTTGATGTGAATCAGATGTAGCATGTGACACTCGAATTGCGGGTTTCCAGCTTAACTGTCAGTCTGTCGATGTTCGCAACTGCAGTTGGAGGATTGGTTTGGGCCGCGAATTCGTCTTTCTGTGCGTGAATCCATATTGTTTCGTGATCTTGTCGTAGTTTCAAGTTCTACTTAACAGCAATCTTGCAGATGGACGCCGTTCGGTATATTTGTGCGGGATGCCGTTTTTATGCGTCGGGAGCTGTGGTGTCGCGGCCTCGACTTCGTTGCCCAGTCTGTTATTCTGGCGGTTCGTTCAGACGTTTGGATGTTCTGGGGGTTTATCATTGGGTGCTGGTGTTATTGGTGACATTTACAAATTGGAGGAGAGGGGAGTCGCTATTGGGATATTCTTCGGTGTGAGGGATCATGATGATACGAATTTGCTTGTTTGTCGGTGCTGACACAGATGTCTCAGGCTGCTCTTTTTGGGTTGGCTGTTGCCCCATTTCTCGGAGGTACGTATCGTATCCATATATTCTAGATGTTTATGCATGCTGACTGTAGCAATGCACTCGAACAGGTGCGGCGGCGCAATACTGGTCCTGGCGTAATTTGCACTATTCCATTGGTGCATGGGGCTTGTTCGAAATGCTTCTTGTATACCTTACTTTTCCTGAGACAAGCCATCCCGGTACATTGGGCATCGATAAACTCACGCGCAGGAGATGGATCCATATCACGTGGGTCAATCCTCTGGGTAGTTTGTGGTTGCTTCGGAGTCCGAATCTATTTGCGGTGGTGAGTGCATTTACCGAATATCTTCGCGTTGGATGCCACCTCTTCGTTCTGTGTGGGATGTAGATGCTTGCATCGAGTCTGGTGCTCATCAGTGACTACGGTGCGTTCATACTAACCGCTCAGTGCATTCTCACATGAAACAACGTAGTTCTCCTCGTACCGCTGGCGTATACCATTGTAAGATAATTATCATCTTACTTCTCGCATGCTGATCGTAGTATAGGGCGTCCGGTATGGTATCACGAACGAAGCCATTATTGGAGCGTGTTTCCTCCCTAGCGGCCTGGGAAACTTCAGTGAGTGTAACTCGTTGTAGTCACAGATCACCAATGTCACCTTTGACAGTCGGAGCCCCGCTTGCTGGTCGGCTGTCAGACATTGTGGTCAGAAGATGGCGGGAAAAGCGTAAAGGAGAGTGGTTTCCAGAAGACCGCTTGAGAGCGACATGGATCGGAGGGCTTTTCATGGTGCCATTGTCCATTGGCGCGTCGGGGCTCATTACGACGTATGTTGGCGGTCCGATCGGTCTTTGGTTGAATTTGCTGTGTCTTTATATGAATGGAATGGGAGTGAGTCGTCACCCCTATTTTCTCTCCATGTGCATGAAGCAACTCAACTGATCTGTATAGGTAGACTTCGTGATGAATCCAATTGGTTCTTACAATGTGGATGTAGTGCACTCTCGAAGCGCAGAGATCACAGCTGCTACCGCGTCAGTTTCCATGATATAGCGTGGATATCAAACTTCCACTTATTCATTTGCCTGCCAGAGCAATCCGGTCACTCATTCTATCTGCTGCAACTGCTGTGGTCGTTCCATCCATCGAGCACATAGGTGTCGCGTGGACGGACATCATCACGGGTATTCTTGCGATCATCGGACAAGGGTGAGGGTCTTTTTGACTGCAAGTTTGAAGGCAGGGAACTTACATAGTACCGCCTTCAATTTCTTTGTTAGGATCATCTTCTTGACGATTCGTTATGGCGATCGCATGAGGGCCAGCGTGGACGTTGGGTTCTCGACTATAGAGAATAATTGATAGATTGATGGACGGGAGAAATTTCGATCTTTCATATAGACTCGCACTGTGCTAAACGCTGTGGGCGACGTTCACTGAGAAGCTTAATGATGTGCTGGATACCCGATGGAAGCACATCGACAGGGTTGAATCTAGCGCCAAGGCTACCTGGAGACGTAATTTTACGACCAAGGAGGGCGAGCCTGAGACATTGGAACCGAGTGCTTTCGTGTGCACATTCAACGCAGAACTAACGCCGCGATCTGTGCCAGACCACCGCTGTCAAATTTCAGCTGTGGTGTTGGTGCGGAACCAGCTGCTTTTAAACGGCGGACCAGGACACGTAAACGAGTATGAGGCGTGTTTGAAGGCAGGCCTTGGGCAGGCCCGGAAAAAGTATAACCAGGGCGCATTCTGGAGGCGGATTGGCCTCTCCCCTCCTCCTCACTCCTCGCCCATTTTCACAATAGTGAGGGAGTCCAGAACGCCAAAACGAACTTGCTCAACACTACAACAGTCACTGCTGGTCAGTCGGAGTTTGAAATATGCATGACCTGCAACTGGATCTGATACTTACTTATAACTGCAGTGTGACCAACTGCAGTCGTATTTTTAGTGGAACTTGTTTGCAAGTGAAAGTCGTACTTGTCAAGGACGTTTCGACCGAGCTTCAAGGAAACTGTGGTGCCGCAGCCATAGTTTTGGGAGTGCCGCGAAGACTCTGTTGAAGGCTTCAACCGTTTTCACCGCACTCCCCTTCAACTTCAAGGCCAAGATCATATGTTCTATCTTGTGCTTTCGAGACCATACTCAACCTAGCATCTGTCGAAGTACGCCCAAGGGCACGAGAAAGAATAATTTCAAGTCATGTGGAAGGGTGTCACAGAAACTGATCATACCCCGGCAGGCTGAGTCATTTTCATCGGTGTTAAGGATATGCCGAGAAACAAGCCCAGAAGCCGCTTACCTATGGCTTGCTCAACACCTCGAGGCAGCAAACCAAAATAACCGCTTCGGCCGGCGGTAGTAGTAAGTATCTCTGCTTCTTACGGTCCGTGACACTTATCTTGACAGGTCACAGGATGACATTTGTAACCCTAGGGGGCTCTATCATGTTATATATTTCTTCCGTGCTGCTTGCGCTTGAACTTGCAAGATGGCTTCAGAAGAAACCCCCCTGCTGACGTCAAGCAACGATGGTGACGGAACAGCGCACGAGGCTGTTTATGACCGGTTCAACCGAGATCAGAAGAGGTGGATCGTGTTCATAGTATCTTTTGCGGGTTTATTACCAAGTATGCGATCTGGTTTCAAATACATTGCATACTGATGAATGGTGTTGATCAGAGTTCGTTTCAGCCTCATTCGTGCCCTCCATTCCTCAGGTAGCTAAAGATCTTGACGCGACACATGCTGCTGTCAGGTGCGTGTTGTGGGTGAATCGGATGTATTATATGGCACTCGGATTGCGACTTTCCTAGCTTGACCGTCAGTCTTTCGATCTTTGCGAGTGCTGTCGGGGCGTTGGTTTGGGCTGCGTATTCATCTTTCTGTACGTTCATTCATGTCGTGGTCCGTATTCATTCCAAGTTCTAACATCGTGCAGATGGACGCCGAGCGATATATTTGTGCGGGATGCCATTTTTATGCGTCGGGAGCTGTGGTGTCGCGATGTCGACTTCGTTGCGGAGTTTATTATTCTGGAGATTCGTTCAGACGTTCGGATGCTCCGGAGGGTTGTCGTTGGGGGCTGGTGTTATTGGTGACATATACAAATTAGAGGAGCGTGGCACTGGTATTGGGATATTCCAGGGTGTAAGGCATCATGATGATTGAATGGTTTTTTGGTTGTGGGTACTGACACAACACTCTCAGGCCACGCTTCTCGGCTTTGCTGTTGCCCCGTTTCTGGGAGGCAAATGTTGCATCAATATATCGTGTGAATATGGATGCTGACTCTAGCGATGTATTCGAACAGGTGCGGCGGCGCAATACTGGTCCTGGCGTAATTTGCATTATTCCCTTGGTGCATGGGGCTTGCTCGAGATACTTCTCATATACCTTAGTTTTCCTGAGACGAGCCATCCCGGTACAATCGGCATCGATAAAATCACGCGCAGGAGATGGCTCCATATCACATGGATTAATCCTCTGAATAGTCTGTGGCTGCTTCGCAGTCCGAATCTATTTGCGGTTGTGAGTGCATTTACCAAGGATCTTGCGTATTGGATACACTGGCTAATTCGTACTTCCGGATGACTTGTAGATGCTTGGTTCGAGTCTGGTGCCCATTAGCGACTATGGTGCGTTGATACTAACTGCCAACCACAGTACATTCACATATGAGACAACGTAGTTCTCCTCGTACCGCTCGCGTATACTATTGTAAGTTGACCATTCGTCTTATATCTTACATGCTGATCGCAGTATAGGGCGTTCAGTATGGTATCACGAATGATGCCATCATCGGAGCGTGTTTCCTCCCTAACGGACTTGGGAACTTCAGTAAGTACGGACCATTGTAGTCACAATTCACCAACGCGATCCTTGACAGTCGGAGCCCCGCTCGCTGGCCACTTGTCAGACATTGTAGTCAGAAAATGGCGGAAGAAGCGCAAAGGAGTGTGGTTTCCGGAAGACCGCCTGAGAGCGACGTGGATTGGAGGGTTGTTCTTGGTCCCTTTGTCCATCGCAGCGTCGGGGCTTCTCACAACGTATGTCGGAGGTCTAATCGGTCTTTGGTTGAATCTATTGTGTCTTTATACCAATGGAATGGGGGTAGGCCCTCGCAGCTAGTTTCTCCCTCCCCATGCATGGACTCACTGATTATCGAAGGTCGACTTTGTGATGAACCCAATTGGTTCTTATAATGTGGATGTAGTGCACTCTCGAAGCGCAGAGATCACAGCTGCTAGCGTGTCAGTCTTTGTGATTTGATCTGACTATCACACTCGTAACTCACTCATTTATATACAAATGTTTCCAGAGGGATCAGGTCAGTCATTCTGTCTGCTGCGACTGCTCTTGTCATCCCATCGATCGAGCACATCGGTGTTGCGTGGACGGACATCACCGCGGCTGTTCTTGCACTCGTTGGACAAGGGTAAGGGTTTTTTTGACTGCATGATTGAGGGTTGAGATTTAATTTAATTTCTATAGGATCGTTTGTTTGACAATTCGTTATGGAGATCGTATGAGGGCCAGCGCAGATGTTGGCTTCTCGACGATACAGAATAATTGATCGATTGATGATAAGGCCTTGAGGACCAGCTTTCAATTTGTTTATTTTTGGGAAGATCTTTCATAAGTATCGGCTCGAGGCCTTCTTCAATGAGCGAAGATCGGACCATGCAAATGCTGATGTATGAATGGATTCGTAATGCGGTATTCTCTTTCCTTAATTCCCGCAGTTCCTTTGATGTTGATGCCTTAGTAGACTTGCCAAGTGCGGGCTGCGCCCCGTCTGTGTTTCCCAATCAAGTGGCTGTGTTGGCCAATGAGAATGCACCTGACCGTCATTGAAGACTTGACTTGATAAGCTCGATCACTTGCCCGACTGCTATAACAGTCAGTCAGATACAGCCTCGCCATGCAATCGCCATGGTTGCTGTCACCGTCGCTTACGTTATAAACACCGAAGTCCTCCTTTTCGCAATCGTCCAAAGAACGAAAATGTTTGTCCAAACCCTCCCTTTGTTTTTCCCTCCTTAATCGACGAAACTTAGGACTGGGGTGTATTCTGCATTGACTACGTGAAAACGGAAACTGCTGAACTGGTGGGGCCTAAGCTTAATTAACGTATTCATTCTAGTTCAGCCAGCGAACGTTGCATCATCTATTCGCAAGGATATTCCATACCCTATCATTCCGGCTCTCGCCGCTGCCACAGCCAACCACCCTCAGCTTTCGAAGATGATGGGGGAAATGAACGTTCATCTCGACGTTCTATTTGACGATAATGTCGCATGGCCCGCTCACAGTCAATGGAAAACTGCAGTTGCACCTCTCCAAGTTGTGCAAAATCACATTTTGATCAGGGAATACGCAACGTTGGTGTATCTCGATCGCGTTGGAGTGTCGATTCCTACCATTTCACGGATATGGTCTAACAGCTGATATAAATGGTGACGACGTCAACTATATCCTGATGAACAATCTGGAAGTTTCCCCGCTCGAGTGGTACGATTTAGGTTCCGACCAGCGTCGTCATGCACTCCATCAACTCGCCAACATTGTTCAACATCATTCATTTCGACATATAGGCTCTATACAGCCACAAGCGTCTATCGGCGCTTTTGCGGATCGCATAACGTTTGAATCACATTGTCGAATTGCCACTTACACAACTTGGCCTGTTCACCAATCTGGGTCCTGTGTCAACACGTGAATCACAATTGATTGTTATCTTCACCTCATTGCATCTTCTCAGTGGGCGGTCGATGACCCTGTGTCATCCTACCCCATATATCTGGACGCTCATCCCAGTTGACTCGATGTGCAATGAAATCTTTTGTCTGCGCTGTCAGAACGACAAGGACTACCACATACTCGTCAACGACCAGCATATATCATCGGCATCATCGATTGGGAGTGGTCAAAGGTTGTTATGAAATCATTTGCGCTGTGTCTGTGATATTATTGCCGCTCTCATTTGATGAGGGCGATAACCAGCTGCCGCATGATGAAGAAGAATTCGCAAAGATATTCGAGTCGTTCGGATAGTCAGATATGGTGCAGTGCGTCCGCGCTAGATGTATCTATCACTGAATTTCATTCACCCTCAACCACGGCGATCGTCCAGAGTCGTCCAGTGGCATGTAAGCCACACTTAGGGCACGGAAGCTGGGAGTGGGAGACATGGCGTTCAGATGGGCCCCAGGCTGCAGACGAATCAAAATGAACCTGTTCCTCATGGTGTATTCAAATGATTGGTTAAGGAAGTTGCGATCTAGCTGCGATCTCCGCCCAACGCCCTTGTACTAATTGTATGTGATATTTGACGGGACTCGAATGTCATTCGTCCGGAGCAATGATACACAGCTGGTCTCGGCCATTTGACCTTGCAAGGCAAGGTGAAGGCTTGTCACCTTCGATGGGGAATCATGTAAACCCTAACCCTAAAGTAAGGTTTGAGCTAACCGGCCGTGGTGTTCTCCTCTACCGAATACCGGACGAGCAGTGCATCTTGGAGCGCAACCTGAAACATGATTTCGACGCTTTTCACGGACTACCGATGTCCGCGCGCACTAACCTTCTCCATTCCGCTACCAACCTCATGGATAATGCTCACCACGCCCTGCATAACGCAAAACGCAAGTCCCGCAACCACTCTGACACCATCACGCTCGCGGCGAAAGAGCTCAATGTAGATACCAAGTACGTGGATCTGGTTATCAGGGTGGGTGTTTGTTTTGTTAAGGCGTGATGGGTGCAAATGAACGGGTTCTGAAGTTTATTGGGGCGTCGGATCTTCCGCGGGTGCATGTTATTGGCACGACGAACCCGTGTTTTCGTGCTCAGCTTGACGACAAGGTTTCGTACAAGTGAGTGTTTTGCTGTCTGCTTATTAGAATAGTGGTCATACTTTCCTGCAGGTCGTCTGTTAAGTCGAGTACCCTCTCCCCTGTTTGGGACGAGACCTGGATCATAAACAAAGTTCCTTCTACAGCTACCTTGTCCGTGGTAGTACGAGAGACAGAGACCGGAGCACTCGTAGATAATGATATCGGCTCTTTCCAGACCACAATAAGCCCAGGTGTCAAAGAGGCCGAAATAGTCGGGAAACGCCTCGGTCAAAATAAAGGGTCGTTTTGGTTGAACGTATGTCTGCCCCACATTTGATCGGCAGAGATTGTGCTTATCAGCATTTGGATCTATTATCCCTCCAGATCCAATCCTCTCCGTCGGCTCATGATTCAAGATCACTACCTTACTCGTTTGATGGCCCGATCCATTATTCTCGTCACAATTCACCAACAATGGGCGTTCTTACCAATCTCAGGGACACGCAGCTGTATTCGACATGGAAAATCTATATTAAAGGCATCCCGCAATTATTTGGCGATACGATGCAACGATGGAACCACGATTACAAGGCCGCGCAGGCGATTTTTCAAGGGCCTACATCAATTGCAGTGCGTTCCGCCCTAGTGGCTGGTCACCGCATGTTGTACGCCCGGACCGTGTTGAATAGTTTTGGGGTCATCACAAGTGCCGATGATGTATTCAAGCTGTTGCATGACGGTCCGCGTCAGTTATCGGGTGACGGCAGTCACGGATTGACAAATCGCATCAAGCCTGCAGTGTACACGTATGTTATCTCCAAGGAGGACGAGACCTTCCGTTTCTCAGAAACAGGGGCGGCGTTCTTCGTAGACTTTGCGTCGAAGCACGCACTGCATAGTAATTGCGCAGAAAGCGTAGTCTACAGCGGTGAGTTCCACCCTCGCCCAGAAGGTGGCTGGGAGAACTTCTCCGATTGCATAGATGATAGCAGTGTGAGATGGGAGTTGGTGATTGATAACAACTCTGGGACGTATTCTCCTAATCCCGATCTGCTGGTAAAAGTGGCGCAGCTTCTGGAACTCAATTTCGCGGGGATCAACATAGTTGTGCTAGCACAGGACGATCCTGAGTTGAAGAAGAGTAGAGATGCGTGCAGGGAATATGCTTTGACGAAACGGGGGGTGAAAGCGACGGAGCTGGAACCTCATGCGACTGAGGGCGAGGAGACGCTATCGCATCGCGTTTTAAGGCCTATGTAACCTGATATACTTAATTATTGAGGATGATGTCGTTGTCAGGTGTTAGAGAGCAGGTGACATAAAGATAAATGGAAATGATCCATAGTGCTGTATTTAGTAGTTTCAGAACGTTGGACTCGTGGATCTTAGCCTGCAGGCCCATCAAGGCAATAACCGAACACGAGTTTCTCAGCCACAAGGTTGGGCACGAGGAGGGAGTCAGTCAAGCACTGCTCCAGCTTGACGCTCTTTCACGATATCGTCCACAGTAAATTCATCTGTTTCTTCTGTCTTTTGTGATGTCTTCTTGCAACCTTTGATGTACGAATCTTGTGAGTCTTTATCTTGTTTTTTTGTATCCTTGTTTTTTTTTGTTGACCAGACTCGGTTTTTCTTGGCGGTCGTTGCAATTGTAGGGCATGAAATCGGTGAACATAATGGATACCAAGGATAATTTGACTAGGGCTGCCCTAGTACAGAACACATCCTCTCTGAATGATTCATCCCTGCTCAAACCAGAGCCAGTTTTATCACAGCCCGTGTTTACCCTTGCGCCACTCTGCTCGCACCCTTGGCACCCAATTCCTAGCTGCAGCAGTAGTCATTTCTTCTCCCTTTTCTCGGAGGAAGATTTCCCCCCTCTCAAGTCTCAACACACACAAGGCGTGCCTGGCCCATCCAATCTTCTGAAGCACACTGGTCCGGCGAACTCATACCCGAGTCCACCTTCTACCGCTTCTACATCAAAGTGCACCATCCCTCTGCCAGAAGAAAGAGGCGAATTTACCCCCATCTTCACTACCCATTCCCCCGGCGTCCTGGACTCGCCGACCGTTATGCGCCGTGAGGACCTTGCTTGCCATAGACCTCTAACGCCACCACCGACACAGCTGCTCTATAACCTAGAGTTGCCAGGTTATGACGATGATGACGATTCGATGTATGACGAGAGCGGGCGCAGCACTCCTCATCAGAGTGATTTTGAAGAGGATTTTGACGACGAGACATCTGACATGTCGGATGGTTCCGCCGAGTCGGAGTCGCCGCTCTCACCTCTATCACCACCCTGGAAGCCACCAGAACACGATCTGGAGCAGTCGCATTGGAATGATCCCCAAAGCTCAAATTTTTCGTGGTCTCCCTTTTTAGAGAGCAAGGACATTGATGACCCTGATATGTCTATACCGCTATCTAACGACATAACGCCCTTCTCATCTGATCAGGCGCCCTACCTTTTGGACATCGACCCACCCCGTCCTAGACTCGTGCCACTCCATATACCCTGGTCATCCTACCAGCGCATGCACCAACTAGATGAGCACCCCACGTCCTCCCCCCACCGTTCTGCGCTTTCATTGACAAATATGGACATCGATGATCCTCCAGAGCTCAGATCTCCTCATCTCTCCCATTCAGATCTCCCAGAGCTAGAGCACGAAAATTCATTACCTGAAATACCACCATCATCTCCCAGCAGGCGCTCCTACTCCTCTCTTCCCGACGACTCAGATAACCTACAACCTTCCACACCCTCTCCCAGTACATCCCTTCTCTCACTCCCCGGCGCTGACACAGACGACGACCTCCTTCCCGATGTATCCGCATTCGCGCCCCCTACACTTTTGCAAGGCGTCCCGTTCGTCCCTAGCCAGCCACTTTTGTTCATCAACGACCCCAGAGACTTGCCCCTCCCGCGCTCACCCTCGCCCGAAGATTTCAATCTCTGCCTCTCCGTGCACGATATGGATAGCGACCCCGAGCTCGCACAGCTCTTCGACTTGCGCAAGCGTGCGCTTGCTGCACTGCAGGGACCCCTTGAGGGCCCAGAGTGCGTAGAGCCATGTCATACGCGTAAGTCGTCGAAGAAGAGGGAGCGGGAGCGGAGTAAGGAGGTCGGGGCGTTGCTCAGGCTGAAGCTGGGCGACAAGTTCGGCATGGATGTATGTGAGGGGAAGAGCCCTGAACGCCGCAAGAAAGGCGTGATAGGGAGTGTATCGCAGTTAGTCGCGCAGATGGTGTTCCGGCGGCACGAAGCTTCGCGGCCGCTGGCGAAACGCAAACCGGTGTTATCTGCGCAAGATTACGTGCAGTCCCCACTTTCGGCTTATGTCGCTGCTGATTCCTAGCCTCGGGGATTGGATCGCCGGTCGTTTTTTTTTTAGGTGCGTAGGCTTGGATTACGCGCGCTTAGTGTGGGGTGCTTATTTTGGGCGTGTGGATCGTGGTGCAGACTTCAGATCTGAGGTGCATTGTTTGGCGGTGTACGCTCAAGTGTTATGTTGTTGGACTATGTCCTTGTATGCTTCTAGCTTGTAATCACCATTCACACTGCTAGCATGGAACCGCTCTCCCAACCCCCTTTGTTGACCATCTATTGGATTTATGCTTCAGATTTAGGAATAGGCGCCCGTATGCGACGGGAAAAAAAATCGAACTACGTCGAAGACTAAGAATCGTTGTACATCATCTTACATGCTTGACTCATATAATATCTATGCAGTTCTGTTCTTGATATGTAGTACACTGAACGAGAGCGTTCGAACTTCGCAGCCTCGAGTGGGAAAGATATGAACGATTTCAAAGATGTTCTATATGTAATTCTTGCGAGAACTTAGAATATCTATCAATATTTGATCGAATCAAATCGTTTGTGGCGTCGAGAAGCTGATGCCTACACGAACTCTACAGCGACTCAAGTGATACCGGCAATGATACCAAGGTAGTACCTAGGTGCAGTGGACGTCGAAGCGAAGACTAAAGATGCAAAGATCGGAGTTTGAAAGACTGGACTCCTTACGTTCACTTTTTAGTTCATCGCTCATTGCAGGCTGCAGCCGGTCGCCGTTTCCGATCATGCGCTAGCAGGATACTGCGGAAGCGGTCAGTGTACAATGCGTGGGTGCGTGGCTCTTACCTGTAGCTGACGTGACGTCCATTCCGCAGCACGCCGAACTAAGCCGAGAATCGAAGCTCAGAAACGCGTACTTATGTGTTACCACGCAGCGCGCCTCCGGTTTACATCTTTATATTATCGGGTGACGAGAATTTGCTTAGCTTACTGGACACGGTCAGGGATAACGCCTGCACAGCTCTACATGAGAGGGACTGCAGACATGCAGAACCTGTCGAGCATCAAGGGATCTTTGCCATTCCGGAGGGGGATACGAACCCTGCCTTGAAAGATAGGGCTCTCGAAGGACAGAGCTCACTTGGGAGAAACTCCTGTACGCCGACGACGTGGAGATCCTGATATTATGCGAGACGGAAGTGCTAAGTCGAAGTGGCTGTGCCCCGTTTGCGAAATCGAACCCCTATAGGAGCGGGTTATATAAGCAACCCCCCCTCTCAACTTACTGCTCAACGCGATTATTAGGCGACTTCAGAAAGTAGCACAACAGCCAAGCTGCTTGCGGCAAGTTTTCGTATGGAATTGGCATCAAGGTGGTCCAGCTAATGTAGGTGTCTCGTTCCATCTACCATTCAAACAACTGATTTAAGCATTGAAAGGATATATTCGTGTGCGGCGAAGGCCATAAGTTGTTGTCTGACATCCGTTTTCTTACCACGAGGAAGCTTTCAATTCTCACATCCAATGGGTATATAGGGCTATACAACGTTGAGGACCTATCGAAGGCATCGCAGCATCAAGCGAGCTTTGTGCTGCTATTGTCCGTTACTAAACACCTGCTCCAGTTCCGATTTCCTTTGGTTGTCCATGGTGCCTCGAGTTGTATGCGTCTCGCTCCAACGGATGAGCATTGGATCTGGACAACAAACCCTGCAAATCGAGTCATATATGTGGACGCGGGCCTTCTTTCGCCGATCATGGACATATCCACTCGCATGTTTTTCATTGATATCCCTCCCATATGGTTCGATGCGACCTCAAGAGATGGACTTCTTGTTCCGTGGTCTTCATGGGGTTCACAAAATACTCGCTCCTTTCCTCTAACGACTGAGCCAATTGCTCTAATGGGGAAACCAGTTAGTGTGGGAGGATCTCGTCTTGTATGGCCGATTCCTGTCTCAGATTTATCTGGTTCAGGGTTCCGGTTGCACATGGCAGACTTCATTCCCTCTGACATAGCGCGTGGCATTGGCAAGGTAGTTTGAACCGTCATCCAGACTTTTTCGTGACCATTTTCAGAAAACTCTATGTAAGACAATACAATCTAGTCTGGGGACCCTGTGTCCCGCTGCGCCTTTAGATCCATGAATGTCCCGACATGAGAAGTATCCCCATCGGTCCGCCGTTCCCGCCGGCCGTTTTAGACATGCAATCTAACGAAGGTGAGGTGACTTTATAGGTACGCGCGCGTATAAGTATGACTGAGCTATCCACAGACTTTGAGGACGTGACGGCGTGACAACGTGCCTTCCTTATGTGGAGGTAGTCGGCGACCGCGTTTTTGATGGCTCTCCCTATGATATCACACTGGACGAGGAGAGGCTTTTGGTATTCACCAGAACGAAGTGTGAGACAGCGTGTGTATTTCCTGCCTGTCGAACTGATCAAGGTAAGTGTCTCGTTGAACAGGAAATTCGGAATGGACGCCAGATGATTTAAATGTCGAGATAATCGACATGTAATAGTCTGGAGTCATCAAGCGTCCACGCAGATTTGTCAGAAAATGTTGTACGATTCTCGGACGAGACAGATTTATGACTAGTATATCTCTACAATATATAGTGCTTGTATTGCTTGAGTATTGGGATTTGCATACTTGACCCATGAGGGCCACCAGAATCAATTCAAGGACACGGCATAATCCCCGCTTGCAGTACAATGGGCCATTTTACTAGTGACGGAATGCCAGTACTCAGAACGAGTGCGCAGATCAGCTTCAGGTCTCAATGTTAAGCGAGCGCGATATCTTATTCTTCTCCGATCGTGCGTCACCGTGATACCGGTGGAAGCGAGCGATCGTACTATACAAGTCTATGTTACTCAACTGTCAGAAGATCCTCTGAATTTGTTCCCGTGTATCCCCTTGCTTGTCAAGGGTTCCTGGGCCCCATAGTTGAAGCCTGTTCCTGACCATTCGGTGTTTTTATATTTACTTGACAAATCATATTCTCCGCTCGCCTTCGTTGCTTAGCTTGTTCGATGGCGCAAGCTTGAGGCGCTTGCAGGGTGCAATACACGCTGCCTTCAAATCTCGCATGGTTTCGATTTCATAGCCATTCAAAGACGTTCGAAATGCCTTTGAGTGTCTCTGAAGTTGAACTGTCCGATGCGATCGATAACAACATACGTGCGCATGGCCCTATGGTTTCTTATTCACTTGCTATCATCCTCTCGTCCACTGCACAGCCTTGTAGTTTCATGAGCGTTTAGACACGTGCGATCAGCTCGAAATGGCCCAGGCTGGGCGAAGTTCGCGTGCATGAACTTGAATTGTTTTTGTTTTCTGATCACGGAGCTATCAGGGCAATCCCGACCTCCCAGCTGCCATCCTTTCAGAGGTAATCCCCCCTGAACAACATGGGACTGGATGATCAAACTTTATAAATCATTCCACGTGCATAAAAAGTCGAATACAATTACAAAACGCTTTGAAGCCACTACACTGAAAGTACACTAGTAGTTTCACTACGAAATAGTACTGCCAATCGGCGCCTCATGAAACTGTCTTCTCGTCCTTGCCAAATCATGTATAACATCATTGATGCGAGTTTATCGCTTCCTGGCTGAACCTCCAATCGAGTCACTTTCTAAGTCTTGTGTGCCTTCTGTCGACTCGAGTGTAGAGGACCTTCGTTGGGAAAGAAACTGCCGGGTGTCTTCGTCTGAGTGAACAGTGCGAGACTCGGGATTAGTGGATATATCAGTCTCCTCCGGGTGACTGTCTAAATGTTTCTCGGGGATCTGCGCCATAACCCCATCAACAGAGATCTGAAAAAAAGAAAACAAGCCGGAGACGTACTGGTAGTCGGATAATATACGCCACCAATGTACAGCACGTAGCAAATGTGAACACGGCGCGGAGACTTATAGCGTATGAATCTCTTGCTGCGCGTTGTAAGTCCGGTGGCAACTTGTTCACGAGGGTGATAGAATGCCTGATCTGGTTCACAATCTAGATGCGGACAATGTAGTATCGAGATGGACTGCTTGAAGGGTGGCATTTTACCTCTGCTGCGCCATCACCGTGTATCCTTGACCGAAGCTCATGGTCAAGTTTGAACTGGAATATCGCAGATGAGATCGCAACGCCCGCTACTTGTCCTGTGCCCGAGAGGTCAACATTGATGACAAGGAGCGGTAAGAACAACTCACCCAAGCCTCGGAAAAGATTTGAGAAACCAGTGCCAACGGCCATCGAACTCTCTGGGATATTTTGCACCGTTAAAAACTTCAGCACAGAAGCCGTGGTAACGCACCTGGGATGTGTGCCAGTAGTGCAACTGATTATGTGTACGCAACACGATTAGCCATCTCAAGCGCAATTGATCATTAACATCCTACGCACTGAGATTCGTCTGTACAACGACGGCGTCGCCAAACCCGAGTGGAATCTGATAAGGAGTTATGATCCACACATCAGTCGAGGAATGCAAAGCATCACTCACAATGCTCAGCCACTGTTGCAGTGGTCCGGAGTCCTCCCGCATCAAAGTGATGAGAACCATCCCGATGAATGGGAATAAACCGAAGATAAGGTTTATAAGTTTGTACTTCCCGGTCTGGTGGATCATCCATCTAGCGCTGATGTGAGTCAAAAGCGCCACGACGACGACGAATCCACCTACCCGGCGAACAAGGCACCGATGGACATACATATACTGTTCGGAAACAGATGCAGGCCTAACTACAATTAACGCTATTTATGAAATAATTTGACGGCGACATACCTGCTGTGGATGCGCTTGTGAGAGCTACTGTCTGGAACCACATCGGAAAGAAATACATCACGGAGAAGCTGACCAATGACATAAGGACGTTGCTAGCTCCAACAAGAGCAGGAACCTTCTGTTTCAAGAGGGATGGCGCCATCATAGGCTCGGGCGCGACTAACAACTCTACCAAAATAAAAATTATGAAGAAAATGCCAGCAAGAGCCAGCGGCGCGTATACCCATCGGTTCGACCACTGGTCGAGGGTCAACCAATTAGATGCTTCACTTGAATAATCACTCACCGGGAGATCCTCGTTGTATTTCATACTCAAGAACAACAAACATGATCCGACCTGAAAGGAGTCAAGGACATTCTGCAAATAATAATATTGACTCACAGAGACTAAAAGGGCAAAGCTACCACCGTAATCGATTCTCTTCAGAACCTCTTTGGTGCTTCTGCTTTTACCCTAACAGTCATATGAGTAGGTGACAAGTTTGGGATCCTTCTAAGTGCTTACGGGAGTGACATATCGCAAGTTGTAGGTCGTAAGAGCGAGCGACATTGCCCAAAAGGGCATTTGAATCAAGAACGCCCATCTCCAACCAAACCTGGAATGCATGGTAAATAGGAAAAGATAAGGCGAGGGCGCTTACCGGTCGCTGATGAGACCTCCTAGAGGTCCTCCTAAACCCATGCCGAGCTGAACACAATAAGTTTACAGGTTCAAAAAGTTGTGGAACCCGACGTACGCCATTGACCATACCTGCTGCCCCTTGCACAAGCCCTCTCGACTATATGTATTCTTGAGAAAACGATAACGGCGAGGGTGGACGGAACAGAACATACCCGCAGGGAATACATGTCACTCGTAGCGATCCTGAAGTTTTCATAGTGGAATTTAGCAATAAATTGGACGGTTTGTCTGACAACGGGTCTCACATGCAGGTCGTTATGATACCACCACCTCCCATGCCAGATAGCTGCAAGAACACGTCACAAAAAGAGTGAAACGGAAACGATGGATGAACGTACAAACCGTGCCACAACCAACATCTCCATGTTCGTGGAGAATCCACACAAAAGGGTCCCCAGCGCCGCACTACAGACAGCCAACTGGTTTGCACCCCGTCTCCCCATGATGTTGCATAACCGTCCGTATAAAGGTGTAAAAGTGCAGGCAGCAAGCATGTATCTAAGAGGGAATGTAAAGCAGAATTTTTGGCCAAAGGGAAACGTATTTACGATGTACCAAGCCAGCTAGCTTCATTTGACCTGTTAAAGTCGGAGGAAATGGATGCTAGCACTGTGCCAGAACTGTCAAATCAGAATTCGGCAAAAATTCAACAGCCGTACAAGTCGCGACTAGGGTCACTGGAAACGATTCCGGGTGTTTTGGTAAGAATTGGGACACTAGACGAGAGCACAGAAACGTACAGTTCAAAGTCTAACAACAAGTCAGAACCTCCAGAAGGACTGCCACATGCAAAGCTCACCGAAAGGAAATTGGCAGACCATAGACCAACCAAGATTCCGAAGCGCGTCGAGCTTGAAATATCGCGAGGGCCGGGAGGGCTATGTTGCGTTGAATGTCCTGTCCTTCCATCCACAAGCAGCGGATCTCTTTCTGTCGCCATTTTGTGTGTGCACTTGGAGTCAGAAGTCAGAAATTAGAATGTCACGTAGTAGATTAACCAGTGTTGGCAGTATATGACACTACACTGGCGCCAGGCCCGAGTCCTGACTCAACTGAGCCGCCACCTTCACATCGGGGTTACTGTGGTCTGTGATGAAACAAGCGGTCCGAGTATTTCCGGGACTAGCGGACCTTCAAGGTATGCTTATCACGCTTTGTCTGTGGCATTGTTCTTTTTGTCTATTCTACCACCGCAGCCTTGTAACCAATAATCTACTCTGCTTTCTCTTTCTGAATTGTCGTCAGCGTTCCACCAACGAGCTCAGGGTGTGTTGGGATCCGACCAGTCCGAAACATCCGATGGAGGAGTGGACCGAGACTAGTCGAGTGTTTTCGAGCTTAACCAAAAGTAGCATCAGAGCATGACGCGCTTGACGTCGGCTCATGCTCGTCCATCCCACGTACCTCATTCCTTAGAGACGGCTGTTGAATAGTCAAACATTACATGGACTATGGACATTACTGGTAGTATTAGATAAGCATGGACATCATTTGCATTTGCTCTTTACTCTACCTACCTCAGTGACTTGCTAGTCTACTGAGGTGAACATACACTACTTACACATTCCTTACTTAGTACTAACTACTGCTGCAGCTTACTTATTGCTGCAACGGCAAGATTTGTGGTGAGTAATAAGTCGCGGGCCTTCGGGAATGATCTAATAGACAAGTATAATCTCAGTCTCTTGAAAGAAGCTCGTCTAACGAGCTATGTACCTAATAGACAAGTATACTAGGGACTCGTTAGTTGCATTCTAATCGATATGTAGAGACTATTAACTCACATCTCAATCTCTTGAAAGAAGCTGAGATGTGCTCGTGCCACTGCTGGTGTTCTTATAGTAAAATGGATAGTAACGAAAAATATATCAAACAAATAGGTAGGTTATTGCAGAATACTAGCTGATGTCAACATGTTGCTCGTCAATCAGGCTATACTGTCATTCTAATGCATTATTGCATGGTAAGTGTCAACATAGAGTGATGCAGGAGCGATGCTAAGTTTAGGTTGCATTACTTCTCACCCAAACCAGCAGTGGAATGCATTAGGTGCATTATAATGCATTAGCCTTAAAATTGTGCACATATTGCCTAATGTGTGTAACGTACTGTCAATCTTCAAAAGCTGGATTCCTGGTCCAGGCTGGTCCCTGCCTTTATGTCATATCCTGTACCTCCGGGTCTGGAATTCCAGATCTCCCCTATGAAAGTCCACTTCTATCATCCTATTCTCCATCTGGTGCTCCGCTTTCATCTCCAGGCTCACCCCTATCTCCTTTTAGAGTATCTATTTCTCTGGCTACCGGTTATGTTCTTTCCGCTTTGCTTATTGATCCTCATCTCTGACTTCACTGCTTTGATCTGTTATGCACTTACTAATAGACTTTCCACATGCTTTGTACATAGCTTCTACTTTGCTGACTAATTTACTTACATGATACCTACAGCATATAAACCCCTGTAACACTCCAGAACTCCTTAGTTCGAATATCATCTTAGTTCTGCTCATTCCTGCTTCTCCAGACTTGAGTCTGATCTCTTGTCTACCTCTGAGTCTTAGGGTTAAAACCTTAGGACTAACTCTCTGGCTCTACCTTAGGGTAGTCTAAACTCTGTTCCATTTCTACTCTGGACTTGTCTGCAGTAGCCTTACTCTGTACTCTCCTAGCCTTCTGGAGTTCCACCGAACTCCCCCCGCATCTGACCTCTGGACTTCCCCTCTGCCTCTCGGAAATTAAAGGGCACGTACTTGGGTAAGGGGTGCAGTGCACAAGCTGAAGCCAAAGCCCTTTGAGTAACCTTCCCCTTGAGCACAACCTTAACACTTTATAACCCTGTTCCTGGCAGCCCCCTCGCTTCTCATTCCCCACATTGCATTCTATTCTTACTCATATCCTTTCCGGTTGTTTGATTGCTGTCGATTGAGTTTAACTTTATGGCTCGAGGCCTGACATTCTTTTTAGGCCACTGCTTGACTCAATGACACAATCTGTTCAAGTCCATGCACTCGGAAATCTCTGAATGTGCTAAATTTTTCTAAGTCCCAGTGCACAATGGCTTCCATTAGAACAGGGTAAAACATATATATTTGGTTGTTAAAGGGACACTTATATATATCAATTCGATGTAGTCAAGATTATTAGATTCACCATGACAAGTCGTGACTAAAGTAAATGAACAATACTATGTCATACTGTGTATAAAGACATTTAAGAGTGCAAAATCATCAAAACTAAATACACCATGAATACCAACACGCCATACTTACCCTCACTTGGGTCTCCTGGAATGAAAAGATATATGAACAAATTGAATATAACAAAGATGTTGAACATACTTGTTTGAGCCTAGATCATTGCCACAGCCTTGTTTCTGTTTGGTGCTGGAGTTAGAGCCAATGGCATTGTCAATCTTATGCCTGTTGAAGGCAACATTGTGTGCGCGGCATTGATGAGGTTCATCTTCTTGAAGCTGCACCTGCTGTTGTGCTGCAGGTGCCCTTGCATGTTGATGCTGGTTAGCAGGGGAAGAAGGCACAGGTACATCTAGATCTGTGTCTTGGATGGGCTCAATGGGAACCAGAGGCAAACAAACTTGCGGTGTTTGCAGGGGAGTTGGTGGAGGAGGTAATACAAGTGGCAGCTCAGAGATAGAAGAGCTCGGGGTGAATGATGGCAGCTCAGAGATTGCAGAGCTCAGGGTGAATGGATTTGAGTGATGTGCTTGGATCTGGGTGTCATGGTTGAGGCTGTCAGCAATGATTGAAGATCCCGGGGTGAAAGGGCCCAGGGGAGGCAACTGAATCTGAGCATCACTGCCAGCCATCAAAGCTAGTACATTGGGGTCCAAGTTGAAATTGAGGTTGGAGTATTGGTCAGGTAACGTAGACTGCTGCTGGTCCAGGAGTGATGTATCATATCAATACTAATGCATTATATGCAATGCATAACTCACCTCATGCAACAAGAAACCCAGGCGTGCATTATTGGCTAATGCATCGGGTAATGTAGACTGTGGCTGCTGAACCTGGAGTTGTCATGAATTCCTAACATGAACCATTTTTCATTTCTCAGTTTTCCTTTGGCTACTTCCAGTACCCGAACTGGTCACATGACTCTTCACCCTTTCACACCTTCACACGTCACACCATCATCTCTTCACATTTCACCTATCACATCTCTGATTGGTTCCCCTACACCCAGGGCTAGAACGATCCCATTACCAATCACTTAATCTCCGCTATGACCTCATCGCTTATATATCACGACGTCATGCTACGTCATCCGTAGTATCATACAATTCTTTCTCATTGGCTGATTTCTTTTAGACTTAGATATCTCCAACTCAATGTTATGTATATAGTTAGGGTAGTAGTAGTCAGTACTCCTTAGACTTAACCTCTTCATTCCTACCCAGTGTAGACTCAGACATTCACTCTCAATACTATCCATTTCTCTATAACTTGACGAGTCCTAGTAGTTGTGTGACACCTTTACCAATTAGTGAATGTTGATCATAACAGGAGTGATGTATCATATCAGTAATAATGCATTAGATGCAATGCATGACTTACCTCATGCGACAAGAGACCCAGGCATGCATTATCGGCTAATGTAGAAAGCTGAATGTGTGGTAAGAACCATCAGTAACATTGTATTACAAAGATGAATAAGGCATCACTTACCTATTGTGACTCATTGTTGAACGAATCAGGTGAGATCCTGTATAGATTGACCGTGTGAAAGTTGAAGTTCAAGGCCCCAACACCACCACTGCTGCCAGCTTCAGCTGTGTCCTCCACTGAATTGGTTGGAATGTTGTTCATCTCGTTATCAGTGTTGTTGTCGCTCTCTGAGTCGTTGTTGTTGTCAGCGTCTTGAGGGAGAGTAGCTTCAAATGCTATATAATATGGTGAGCATTCAAGTTGCAGCTTGTTGTTGAGAAAATGACACTTACCAAGCACGCTGTCAGTAAATTCCAAGAATGCTTGCTGGATGCCATTGAACTTGTCACAAAATGTGTTGAATTGAGCACCATTTCTGAGTTTGCCTATGTGATAGCTTCAATTTGCAGTATAAGTTGATGTAAGTGATTTGACATATAGCAGATGTACTCATATACCACTGTTCCACCCTTTGTGGGGTCAGGCCTGGCCATGAGGACTGAAAACTTCCAGCCACCGGTTGCATGAGACAGGTAATGGAATACATGGTCCAGCATTGAACCTAGTTCTCGGATGGCCCTGACCAATGATCAACACCTCTTTAAATGACAACTAATCAGGAGGTACATACTTGACTTTCATATTTGTATCAACCTTTGGCATCTTACCATCCTTCAAGCGCTCATGAGCTCTAGCGAACTTCACTTTCACCTTTCTATACTTCCTCTCAACCTCTTCCTTCACCTCATTACTTTCTGCCTCAAACTTTTCTTGAGTTATACCAAGGCACTTGTTCAACTTAGGGCCATGGTGAGTGATGTTGTCCTCATGAATAGTTTTGTCCACATTGATCTTGATTTTCTTTGCATAATACTCATGTGAGTAGATATGCATCTTCTTGGGGGCACGTGCACCACTCAATTCTACCCCACCTGCCAGCACCGTGTCAAATTTGAGCACCCCCTTTGTCCCACTGGTACAGCTTAAACACGACACATTATTCTGCCACCGGTACCAACTTGTGATTTGCTGTGATGAGTGAGGTTTAATCTGTGTTTGACATGTATTGTATAGCATGCTTACCACTTGTCATTTACTGACTGCCTCTTTTAAGAGTTCTTCTTGTTCTTTTGTCAGTCTTTGATCTGCTGGCATGTGTGCAAGGATGACACTGCACTCTGGCCAACACTTGAAGAATCCCTGCCAGGCTTTTTTCAGCACTGGATTGTAAGTTTTGTTGACCATGTGTTCACGGTACTCAGGGAGGAACATCTCCAGGAATTCTCTCTGGTCTTTTGTCATCCACTTGTAGTCCATCTAATCACTGGTGAGTATGTGTTGTGATTTAGTAGTGCCGACACTTACATTCGATAATTAGAGCTAGCAGCAGTTAACAGTAACAGAAGTTAAGGTTGATGTGAGGGGCCAAGGTTGTCCACTGTGCTGTGGCCCTATCAAGAGGCTTGGAATCATGCTCTAGTTTCTTCTGTCATAGGCACAAAAATTTAATTTGTTCTTTGCATGATCTGCAGGTTGCCAATATTACAAGAAGTATTCTATTGTAATTGCCTGAACACTATTCTAAGAAAAATCAACTGTGGTGTGGGTGAGGAAAATAGACTCTGTGTGAATCAGAAGTCTAACAAGGGTGCGAGGCTTATACTCGTCCCGAGGGGATTGCTACTGGGTAGCGAGTCCTCAAATAAGTGCGAGGAAACAAAGACTAGACTCTGTCTAGCGACCCGAAGGGTTACGGTCCTTACTAGGACTGGGAACACAAAGATGCGGAGGGTTCCCGATGAGTGGAACTCAGCACGCGATGAGCGGAACTATGGGGAACTAACGGAACTAACGCGGAGCAAACAGGACAAACGGGGAACAAACGGAACTAATGGGGAACAAATGGAGGGAAAAGAAACTACGAGCCTGCAGGAGGATGATTGGGCAAAGTCGGACCAGGCTTGTGTCTGGTACTTGCTCCAAGTCGTCGGATCCGATGTCGGGCGTTTCAAGCGGAACTCACGGGGGCGGGAACGATGCAATGTGATCAGGAATAGATTCAGGAAGATATTTTAAACAGTGAGTGGAGTACTGGGAAGTACTCTGTAAGTGGAAGTGGAGTCAAGTCTATCAGAAGGTAAAAAACTAAGATCCCATCTATTGCTACCTATATAGGAAGGGGTTCCGAAATGCGATATGCTACAACCGGGTGAGGCTGTGAGATAAGGAATCGGTCCCGAGTAGCGGAAGGATCCGTATAAGTACCATAACACATGGGAAATGAGATAGGAACATGTTAGTGACACGGGGAACGTAGCTAGTACTCACCAGCGAGGATGGAAGGACATGGACAGGACAGAGGAGGATGTTCCGAAGGCTGAAGGAATATAATGTGTGTGGTACACGATTGTTCCGCTGGGTTCTGCTTGGTTCTGCTTGGTTCCGTGTAGCGGACGGGTCGGGGAAGATGCGGACGGGTAGCGGAATGCGCGGGAAAATGGTGGGAAGGCATGGGAAATATGCGGGATACGGGCCTACAGTGGGGACGTTCCCCACAGCGGGCCTTGGGACATCTGGGATACTGTCTCAGCACTGAGGTGTAAAATTGCATCAAATTCTGCAAGCGTGAACAGGTGAGTACATGTATGTCAACACCACAGGGAGAACACAAACCTTGTGGTGTTTTTGCACTGCAACACCCACTGCACTCGACTGCATTGGAGTAAGTTTATGGAATGGTGTACTGGGAAACAGAGCTTTTTTTTCAGGCCAACACGCAAACCAATGCGAAAAGAGTGCACTGAAGAAATAACTCCATTGAGACAGATCACATATCGCAAATAATTCATCTGAGTGAGACAGAAGGAATTGCTCCTGGATATATCAGAGGGGAAGAGGTTTCTTCGGTAAGGACTGTTTGCCTTCAATTCAGCAATGACATGCACAAGGACTGCATTACTTACTGATGCAGACATTGATTGAGATGAGTTGGGGCATGAAGCTGCCTGACACCTATTTATTGCAGTTCAGGCAAATGCTTTGAGGAAGTTCACATTTTGAGTAATTGTGATGGTGACTGAAACAAGGATGAACATGTAACTCTCAATACCATTGTATTTGAGGCAGTGTCACAAATATTGGAATAGCCATGATCCTCAGCTGAATTTTGTAAGCATCTCTGCCTCTATCTCGCTTACAGCTGCATAACACCAGAGCTCTTCGGTGGCAGCAGTCACCAATTTGCATTGATGAGACAGATTACTGAGATGCTCCATGATTGCAGTGGAGAAATGAGACTTCCCCCCATGAGATGACCATATGTATTCCTGAATGGACTCAAGTATTTCCAGATGATCTGAAAGCATTGCAAGGACAATCTGTTGGTCCCTGGGGCCCTGAATCATCTGCATGTACAGTGTGTTGAATACCAAACAAGTCAGGAGGCTGGCCTCGGTGATATTGACACCACAACTAGGAGAACATGAGGTGTTCAGTATATGATATTGCTCAGAAATGATGTGGAAGTACATTACAGGGTGTGAAAGTTTCTTGATGGTTAAGCGGCTGAAAAGAGTGTGGTTGAGTTGTGTTATGACTAGTGTTCACCAAATAGCAAAGACTAACTAGGACTCAGTCAAGATAGATGATAATGAGCAAAGGATAAATTGAGCATGAACGTCTAAGTCTAAGGAGTACTTACACTAACTAACCTACTTATATACATAACATTGAATAGGAGATATCTGAGTATGAAAGAAATCAGCCAATGAGAAAAGAGTCATCAATACTGCAGATGACTGAGCATGACATCATGATATATAAGCGATGAGTCAGATGGTGACTAAATAGAAGTCCAAGATCTGACCAGTACTTCTTCTGGAAGCAAGATTGTTCTAGCCTGTGGAGTTGGGGAACCAATCGGAGATACAACAGGTGATATGTGAAGAGGTGAAGATGTGACAGGAAGCGAAGTCACATGACTGGTTTGGTAACTAGAAGTAGCCGAAGGAAAGTCGAGAAATGAAAAATGATTCGTGTTTGGAATTCATGACATTACCCCCTTGATAGGATGTGCATCCTCATAAATGTAAGATCATCAGATATTTTTCTGTCTCCATTCAAGGAAACCAGAAGTCTGAAGAATTGGAATGATGGAACTAGTGATTCAGTGTGATTTTGGAGCATCAGAATGTGTGGTGTAAAACTTGCTGACTAATCTGGGGGAGTTCTTCAGATTTTCCTCTTTTCCCATGTTGCTTCTTCCAATGGATATCCTTTCCATTTTATCAAGTATTGTAGCTGGAGTCACTATATTCTGCTGGATATTACTTTTTCTACTTGATATTCTTCTTCGGATTGGACAATATCTGGGGGTGGACATGTTGGAGCAACTCAAGGCATTAGTGTGGACATTTTGTGCAGTGTGAGTAATCCCACATGAAACACTGGATGGATTTGATATGATTGTGGTAATTTGATCCGGTAGTTTAACTCACCTATTCACTTGAGTATTTTGAAGGGGCCAAGACAGCAATCCAACAACTTCTGACTTGGGCGCTGTTGTTTGATATTTTTGGCGTCTGACCAGACCTTTTGTCCAATTTCCAAAACGGGTGTGTCTTTCACTCCATGATCATAAAAGTGTTTCATTCGATCATTAGCTATTTCTAGCGTTGCCTTCGCTTCTTTCTGCACTTCTTTCATTTTGACTACTCTCTCATTGGCTTGAGGAACAGTATTGGAGGAATTGGGAGAAATGACGAATTTGGGGTTATAGCCGTAGAGGGTTTTGAAAGGAGAATGTCCAGTAGTTGTAATGGAATTATTGTGTGTAAACTCTGCAATGGGAAGCCACAACACCCAGTCATTTTGATGGTAAGACGTAAAGAGCTGAAGATATTGTTCTACTTCTTGATTGACTCGTTCAGTTTGTCCATTGGTTTGAGGGTGATACACTGTTGACATGGACCACTTGGTTCCTAGTCTTTTCGGGACTTCCTGCATAAATTTGGACACAAATTGTGTTCCTCTGTCGGAAATCACCTTCTTTGGTATTCCGTGCAACTTCCACACATGTTTAACGAATAAGTCCGCAATTCCTTTGGAATCAATGTTCTTGGTGGTAGGAGCAAGATGCACTTGCTTCGTGAATTGATAAACAACTATGAGAATACTGTCTTTGCCTTGAGAGATGGGTAGATCGGTGATAAGGTCACAGCTAATGGTTTGCCATGGTCCTTCTGGGATTTCATTTGGTTTCAAAGGTCTGTGGGGTTTAGATGGTAACACCTTTGTTTGTCTGCATCAATCACATCCATCTACATAGTCATTGACCCACTTTTGCATTTGTGGCCACCAATAGTTCCGAGAAACCAGTTCAAGAGTTTTGGCACGTCCCATGTGTCCTGCTGCAGGTGAGTCATGGAAGATCTCTAGCACTGAGCGATGTATTTCCTTGTTGTTGGGAACATAAACCAATCCTCTGAATAAGATGAGTCCATCCTCTGTATTCCACTCCTCTAGTCCTCTTCTCAACTGTACAGGGGCTTTCTTCAGGATTTTGATAGTATTTTGGACTTCCAGATCCAAGTCAGTGCAGTTTCTGATATGCTTCAATAGTGATTGTTCTCCTTCTATCAGAATCTGACCTCTTTTGCGGCTTTAATGTGGAAAAACTCGGGTTTTAAAAGCATGTGATCAGAATTGTCATTTTCTACTCACCCTCTATGGTCTGGCCTGCTGGACAGAGTGTTGGCGGTGTTATTAACCTTCCCCAGTTTGTGCAAACTCGGGTTTTAAAAGCATGTGATCAGAATTGTCATTTTCTACCCACCCTCTGTGGTCTGGCCTCCTGGACAGAGCGTCGGCAGTGTCATTAACCTTCCCCAGTTTGTGCTACAGTGTAAAATTGTATTCTGCAAGGAACAAGGACCATCTCGCTTGTCTGCAAGTCAACTTCTGACTTGTCATGAAGTATTCAAGGTTCTTGTGATCTGTCCAAATCTCTACTGGATGGAGCCATTCTGGAACCATCTCTTCAACGGGCTTCTTTTCCTTCTTCTTTTCCTCTTGTTGAGCTAACTCTGACACAACAGAGCTCTTGTATCTGATTCACACATTCTGTGGTGAATCCTCATCCTCCACCTCCTCTATCTGGACATGTCCTCGCAATTCATGCGACAAAGGTGAAGAGTTGAAGCTTGTCAACTGAATCTGAGGATGGATAGAGGCTTCCTCAATATCCTCATCTTCATCATCTTCTGTCAGTATCAACTTGGGCAACACCTCAAGGATCAAAGAGTTCGTGGCTCTTTGCTTCTTTGCCTTGGTCTTTTTGTCCTTGACCTTGGCTTCTTGACATTTAACTGGACAATGGTCTAATGCCACCTTTCCCACATTCCAATCGATACTGGGATTATGGTATCGTGGCCAATCTATTCCAATGATGACATCATCGGTTCCTAGATCTGTGATCAGAAAAGCTACTTCTTCCTCATGATCCCCTATCATGCATTTCAAATTGGCGTAACTTTTGATTGGTCCAGCGGAGTTTTTAGTTCCATCAATATTGCGGACCGGCAGTGCTTGCAACAACTACTTGGTTTGGACTTGGTTCTTTTCTACAAACCTTTTGCTGATGAAGAGGTTTGTTGCTCTGCAGTCTACTAGAGCATTGACAGCTGCTTTCTTGTTTTTTTTTTTTCCTTCCAATGTAACTGGCAAGTAAAAATGCTCTCATTTATTCCCAGAACAAACTTCTGATACTTCTGTAAACATAATTGCCAAGTCACCGAGAATGAAGAAATGATTCTTCTGATCTAAGTTCACAGTCAACTTTGATATATCTAAAAACCCTTCTTCTCTGGGTTGTACATCGTGGAGAGGCAGATCCTCTTGTTGATGATGCAGTTAATATCTTCCAGTGTGAGTGGTTTCACAGCTGGAACTTCTTCTTCCTTGACGGTGCGGACAGCTGGTCCTTTGCCCTTGTCAAGGGGTTTTCCTCTGCAGTTACAAGCCATATGCCCTTCTTCTCCACAATGATAACATTTGAAATCACCTCCCGGTTGTTCTTGAGGTCGGGGTCTACCTCCTGTCCTTGATGCATCAACGTCCATTGCATTTCCTCCTTGCAACACGGTCTTGGGTGCTACTAGTGTAGATGTTGCAGCAGCACCTTGCCATGGACGATGGGGTGTCCAGCCAATCTTCTTCTCGTCATCAAGCTCCTCCAGGTTTTGCCCAATGATGAGCGATTCCCTGATTAACCCTTCCAGCGTATCCTTCCTGTTGGGATGAACATGTGCCAACTGGTTCTTAACCTGTTGGTCTGCTCCGAAGTGGATCTTGTGGATCAACTCATAGTCAGAGAAGTGACAGTAGGCAATTTTTTGCTGGAAGAGGGAAAAGTACTCTGCCATTGTGTGATTTCCTTGGCGGAGAGCTTCTAGTTCCCTCGCTGCCTTCTCCTCTTTGTTGATGAGTCCCCACATGGCTTTCATGTCCATCTTGATTTGGTTGTAAGACCTGAGTGCACCAGTTAAAGCCTGCAATGTGATGCTCTCTGCCCACTTCACTGCTGAACCCCGACAGAAAGAAATGAGGCATGAACTTTTCTGTCGTTCTGATGTCAAAATGATTCACCAGTCAAGAGAAGTGTTCATACATGGTACTAACGTCTACACATTGAGCAAGCAATCTACGTATTCAAGGAATTACTTTGGTCTCCCCATGGTCAATCACTTCCTCAATCAATCTAATCCCCTCGGCAGCAGAGCGAATTCTGGAATAGGATGAACGGCTCACCCTGGTCACATAGGTGGATGTCTGCTGCCTGTGATACTAATAAGTAGAAAGTCTGGAAGTCAAAATACCACTCACCAAGTCGCAACAACACCAATGCAACACCCACGGCTGATCCAGTACAAAGGGCCAGCATAATTTGGCTCGGGAGTGATATAAACCACCCCACGATGAGCCTGCATGTGAGTTACAGCAGCAGCAACAATGGTTGGGGGTGTGGTAGTTGCCGGTGGGGTGGAATTAGTTGCAGTAGATGCCATGGTGACCATTGAGTTGATGATGGGTGGTGCAGTGGCCACAGGTGGAATGATAGCAGATATTGCAGGAGCTGCAACAGTGACTGCTTGAGCAGCAGCAGCAGCCACTTCCTGAATAGCCACAATGACTGCATTTTGTATGACCACAGACAGGGCAGAGGTCAATGAGACTCTGTTGTTGCTGTTGATGTTTAGTTGAGCAAAGAGTGCTGTCAAAGAATCTAAACCAACCATTAGAAAAGACAGATTAACAAATGTGTTTACACACCACTGCTGGAAGGACTAGCAATGGATGCCACAGGCACTTGACTATCAGTGCTAGAGGAGGTCATTGTTGAGTAGGACCTGTATATCGAGCATTAGAAACTTGCAACTCACCTGCATTATACATATAGCTGATGCTCGCAAGTTCAATTTGTGAATCAAGTACATAATCTGCGGAGTACTAAATGTAATTCCCTATTTTGTGTGATGTTCTTTCATCCATCATGTAGACCCATTGCAGGCTTTATTCTCCAAGCTTCAGGCTACTTGACTATTCAGGCCATCACCTTTCTTCAGGCTACTTGACTATTTAGGCTATCACCCTTGAGCCACCAAGCAGAATTTGGCTTCTGGCAACCTTCCCGGTGATTCACCACTATATAACAACTCCAGCATCCACTAAGTACGTATACCACTATGGCTATGGTCGTATTCATTGACAATGCGCCTTTCACTGCAGCATACCCTGAGATTGTCGCCGTCCATGAACACACTACTGGTTTCCCTCTTGCTGCCAGCGCAATGGCTGACAAATGTTTTCTCCATCACTACCTGGGGGTATATTATAACATCCTGGTATGTAGCAAGCAACTCCCTTGGAACCCACCTTTCTACTGCATCACCCATGGCCATGTGGTGGGTGTGTTACCCAGCTGGTGAGTACTCTCTGGTCATTAGATGGATTTTATATAAATCTACACTAGGGAGCACACTCTAAATGTCGTTCTGGGTGTCCATAATGCCAATTACGATGAAGTTGATACTATCACCATCGGTGAGGAAAAGGTCAGGCTGGCAATTGAGAAGGGAGAAGTGGAAATTGTAAACAACTACTAGTAGCAACTACATAGCGCCTACTCCTAGCATTGCTTCCATAATTGCACAATGCACTTATACCATTCCTGGATTCTCTAAATAAGCAATAACTTCAGTGTCTACTCATCGCCCTTCGACAGCTTCAATCAGTACAGCCACCCAACATTATGAATCCAAATATGCTTGAGGGTCCATGGCCACCTCTGTCTCATCTGAGTCAAGAAATACAGGTCAGGGACCTTGGGATTACATTCAAGCAGGCCAACAGCCATTGCAAACACACACACTTAAATCTGTACATTCCGCAAGCCAGCTCTCTACCTTCCATCTACTACACATCTGTAACTTTCTCCTCACACCATAAGGGTGGAATAAAGGCTTCTGCTGGCACATTCTATGCACATCATAATCTGATTCTCACCCTGAATCTGACACATTTTCTGAAGGGGCTGGAGATGATGCCAATTTTGGGTACATGGATGGGTACATGGATGCAATTGATGATGTCCCGGCTACATCAAAGCAAAAACAGACCACAGCTGTAAGTGTTTGCTGGTCATAATTTTGCTTCACTGATTTTATTTGTAGGATAATCCCCTTCTAGTATGGTTAAGGGGTCGTGACAACTATCTGGCAGAAATGCTTCGGATGGATGGCTGAGGGGACTATACTTCAGATACTTGCTGCAAATGTGGCTCTGCTCCCGCCCTGTTCTGATGCGATGACTGTTGTGACATGCAGCTATACTGCAGAGACTGCACTGTCTACAACCATTTGCAGTGTCCCACTCATTGCATCAAGGTTTGTCTGTATTAATTCTGAGTGGCTGAGTCAGGAGTTGATTCACTTTAGGAGTGGATGGGGTCATTTTTCATAGCTATGTCACTCAAGAAGCTTGGTCTGAGGATCCAGCTGGGGCATGCGACTGGCAAAAGCTGTATCCTGCCTTGCAAGTCATTCAATGACAACTTTGTCCTCATTGATACAAATGGAATACACAAGATGGTAGTTGACTTCTGTGGCTGTGAAACCTCCCAGACTCATACCAAACAGCTCTTGCGCATGGGTTGGTTTCCCTCAACAACTGTGGATCCAAGGACAGCGGCAACCTTCCAACTATTACACCATTACCAGATTTTGTCTTTTGAGTCCAAGGCATCCACATATGAATTCTATCACTTGCTTGTCCATATATCTGACAATGTTGGTTTGATTGAGAAGGTTGGTGTTTTCCTGGGTTGATCTTGCATGGACTAAAGTACCTCTAATTCAGGACCGCTATGAATCCTTCATGTGTATGGTTCATGAGTGGTGACACCTAAAAATGTTGAAACATTTTGGCCGTGGTCATGATCCAGTCGGTGTGAGTGGTACCAAAGAGGGTGAATGTGCTGTCCTCTGTCTGGCTTGCCCATAGCCTGGCAAGAATCTACCCCCTGACTGGAAAGAAGCGCCAAAAGCCAAACAGTAAGTCTCTTGCCATTTTCAAACATGAAGCAATGCATTAATCACACTTAGATGGCTTTATTCGTTGTTTGTAGCTATTGACACCAATTTTCGCTTGAAGAGACAGAATATTTTAAGCAATGAAGTGGACCCAAGTCTCTCAGAGGGATGGTTGTACTTCATAGAAGAGAAGAAGTTCAAGTCACACCTCAAGGAGCATTTGTCCAAGACACAGGAGGTATGTAAACAGCCTGGTCCAAAATGTTGTTGACAACACCTCCACAGAAAAGTTCCTGCTCGAACCATAATGCCATGAATATGGCTGAGACAAAGCTATCACAGGGCCTTGCAGCTACTGGAGTAGGGACAGTCGATTGCGCGTGACATAACTTCAAGTGCCCAAATGGTGTCAGGGACCTACAAAAAGGGGGAAAGTACATGTGTCACTTGTGAAGCTGCTCTGACTAATTCAATTCTTAGGTACATTAACATGGACTCCCTTTTTTTCCCCACACTCCGCAACAACTGTCTCGACATTCTGAATGTGTCATATGACATTGCATGTCAATGGCACAAGAATCTATGGAGTTGCATGAAGTCACTATCTGAATCATACCATATATCTTATTTGTGTGTTTTTATTCAGTTCTTCATCCCCAAGTTCCACCTTCCAGCACACATCAACAAGTGTCAGACATTGTTCTCTTTCAATTTCGCACATCTTGTGGGCCATACAAATGGGGAGGCGCCCGAACATGGCTGGTCCAATATAAATCTGGTTGCATCAAGCATGAAGGCAATGGGACCTGGCTGTTGTAGGGACACATTAGATGATCATTTCAGGGATTGGAACTGGAAAAAAGTTGTTGGCTTAGGTACGTGGTTTATGCTCACTTATTATTCTTGTTTGGTTGATGTTTTTGGGATCAGGTGCATCTCTTGTCTATAAAATGCAGGAAGCTGTCATTGAGAAGGCTGATCACAAGGCTGCATTCCAGGAGTTCAATGCTGCAATTTCCCCTGACCACAGGTCAGCATGGACAGTTGAGATGGAGAAATGGGAGGAAAACCCAAATGACACATGTAAGTTAGCTACGACGTGTGTAGCTAGAGGCAATGCGAGTGCAAAGGGGGTAGATAGACCGCTGAAGGAATGATAATGATTAGTGTTAGCTTCGAATGAGGGATGACAGATGCGAGAGATATCGTAAATTGGTAAATGAGAGTGACCGCGTTATAGCGATGATAAGAGAAGGTAATGAGACGGGTTCTTTGGGGCGTTCTTCTGGGGGATCTACTGTTCTATTCTGCTGTTATTAGGAATGTACATGGACTACTTATACTGTAGGATGAGGAAGGGTCGTCCTAGAATAGTTAAAGGCAAGGGCTCGGTGTACGGTTGGTGAAAGCGGTAGCTGAAGGGAGTGGCATTGTATTTGATAGTGTAGCGAGAGAATGATATAAGAGTTGTTGACAAGGTGAAGACGGCAGTATTATGAATGGAGGAACAGTAACGACAGGAAGGGTTTAGCGAGCAATAGGAATTGAAAGGATAGGTACTAATAAAAGGGATCGGGTATCATACTTGACAAACGGTCCAGGCGTTGATGTGGTGGTTGCGGTGAGAGGAGTATCGGCATGTTCCGGTGATAAATGTTTGGTAATCCTTACACCTCCCTCCAAGTATGAATATCAACCGTCCTTGGTTGATCCATAGGACCGACTAAGCGTCAAACGACTCGGGAAGACCTGCGATCGTGTCCGTATCAATGAATTGTGTGACTTCGAGCATGACTGGAGAGCGCACGTGATAAGGGATGATGCAGAATGCAGCGAACTTAAGTTTGGACACTGATCTGTCAACTTCGGCGAGGTAGTAGGCTCCATTTGAGGTGCGTGCGACAACAACCATGGAACTGAAATAATGAGGCTTGCACTTGGCATTTGAGGACAGTTCAATTTTCTTGTTGAGTACCAAGACGAGGTCGCCGGGTTTGAATGTCCGGTCTGCAATGGTGTTTGTGAAACGGTGCTTGAAGTCTTTGACAGATGCATAGCAGCTTGCGAGAATGCGCTCGTGGATTCGTGCAAGGTCATCGTCGCATTTAGCAAGCTGGCAGGCACATAGGGAGATGAGCTCGTCTGTGGTAAGGATAGAACCGAAGTCTGGCAGAAGAAAGGTTGCTTCGATGATATCAAGTGGAAGGAGGGGTTTGACACCATGTGCCATGTAAAACGGTGTGTGTCCCATTGATTTACGAGTTGTGATGCAGTCAGCCCAAAAGACTTGTGGGGCTAAAACTGGCCATTGTGTGATGTCGCCGTTACATGCTTTGATGAGCGAATCGCGAATTGTGCGGTGCGAACATTCGACAATACCATTGGCTTTTGAGTTGTAGGCCAAAATGCGAATTATGATGGATGTGGTACTTAGATGCGAGCCAGTCTAGTGCAGCAATGAACGGCATGCCATTGTCTGTGACAATTTCCTCTACTCCGCCCCAATGACACAGCAATTCTTCAAAAATAAATGCACCGAGTGTGCGGCCGGTCTCTTTTCGTAGCATGTGCCACTCGGGCCATGTGGTGAGCAAACAGCAAGCTTGAACGATGTATGAAAATCCGTGAGATGTCAGCATATACATGGAGTCAGTGTAAGTTTTTTGAAAGAGTGGCATGGGAACAGCGACTGTTGGCAGAAGAACGACTTTTTTGACAGAGCAAAGCTGACATTGATGACATGTTTTGAGGTACCATGCAAGGTCACGATCAAGGGATGGCCACCAAAAACAGTCAGCAATGGTGTGTTGTGTGGAATAAATTCCCTTGTGCCCAAGATTGTTGTGGGTTTCCTGGAGAATTCGAGCACAATCGAGCAGAAAAATAACAAGCTGATGGCGACCTGTGGGATTACGATGCCAAAGTCATTTATTATGAACAAAAAATTGTGCTGCTCGCTTAAGGAAGCGAGTGTGGTCAGAGCACTGCATACCCAAAGGCAGTGCGAGCGTCTCAAGATAGCACTGGATGACCCGAAGATCATTGTCATGCTTCTGCAAAGCCTCGTCACTTGGGATCGCGATTGCTAGGTCAGTACTCAGACTGGTTTCCATAGACGCGAAAACCTGTGTCTTCGTCATCATTCCCTGTCGTCCATTGTGCGAGTCTATTGCAGCCCATAAACCACATCCGAGAACTTCATCTATCCAATCCTCTACATCCTGCAAGTCTTCTTCGTTGTCTTCATCGTCTTCTGGTGCACAGTGACACTGTGATAAGCCGTCAGGGCCAATGTGCCTGGATCCCGGAATGTGTTTGAGTGTGAAGTCGAAGAGTAAAATTCCCGCGATCCACTGGTTGATGGCAGTGTTCGGCTGAATATCTGGGTTGTTCAGCATGCCCTTAATATACTTCGCGTCCACTTCTACTGTGAGATTCTTGACACCTATTGTCCAAACTTTTGTTGCCTTGAGCGCGCAAAAAAGACTGTGGAGTTCGATCTTGGCCTGTGAGTAATGAGATTCACGTTCGTTCCAGGTAATGGAGCCAAAACGAGAGGGCCGTCGCTGCAAGTTGTCATCTAACTGAAGTAGAATCCATCTGCAAGCAATATATGATGAGTCGATGGCAAGAATGACTGGATTAGAGGATTTGTAGTCAATAGGGCGAATAGCGGGGGATTGAATTACAGCTTGTTTGAGGGTGTCCATGGCTGTTTGTGCATGTTCGTCCCAAATGAAAGGCATACCATTGCGGGTGAGATTGGTAAGTGGTTGTGCGATGAGGGCATAATCCTTGATCCAGTTGCAAATAGTGCCTGCTATGCCGAGAAATCCTCGGACTTCGGTGCGTGAAGTGCAGGGTGACCATTTCTTGATTTTTGCAACTTTAGACTCGTCAGGGATACTTCCCTTATAAGTGCACTGCTGACCAACTACTATTACCTCCAGTATGCAAATAAAAAGCTTCTTAGCTGATACCGTGGCTCCAGCATGCTTGAGTTGGTGTAGAACTCGGTTGACGTCTAAGCAATACTCCCAGATGAAGTGTTGAATACCGGGATTTTCGGGGATTGTTTTGAACATGCTATCCGAGAGCTCGTACCATGTGCTCGGTCCAAGAATGTTGACGTCATCTTGAAAATTTGGTGTGATCTCGATCTCGTGCTGCAAAATGAAAGCAACATCATTCTGGAAGACAGCAGGTGAATCTGTCCAACCCATGGGTAGAGCAGTGAGACAAAAGGCGCCGAGAGGTGTTTGGAAGGTTGTAAGATCACATGATTCTTCGGCAAGTGCACGATGGTCAAAACCGACAAATAAATCCATCATCGTATAAATAGATTGTCCGGCTGACTGCTCTGCAAATAGCTCAACATATGGAAGAGTAGCAGCATCTTTGACGGTGACTGCATTAAGGGGCTGGAGGTTGTGGACGATGCGAATGGAGCCATTTTTCTTTGCAACACAGAACCAGCTAGATTGATAGGAGCTGTTCTATGGTTCATAAATCCCTGACACGATTTTTGACTTAATGAGGGAAATGACCTCATTGTGGATTCCTGGTGGGATGGGTGGCTGACAATGTACCCACGGAGTGTGCTCTATGGTCGGAATGATAACCAATGGGAAATAGTCATCCCAAAATCGGCCTTTCTCCATCTCGTCCCATGCTAGTGCTAACTCGTTGAGAGATAAGACATGTGCGGCTAACTTTTGCTTGTCGGGCCATAGAAAGCTGTTCTTGAATATTCCGAGGTCGTTCATGCGTTCCTCTGTGAGACGGGTGCCTGGAATAAAGTCTGAGGGAGTTGGAGAGACTGTGGGAAGGGATAGGAGTGGGTCTTCAGGAAGACAACGGATAATACGAGTGTGGGCTGGCATGGTAGTTGCGACTGGCTTGATTTGATTAGCAACCTTCTTATATGTGAAAACGTGTTGGAGTGGATCATAGTCGAATGCATCTTGCAACAGGTGCTTCAAGAGAGAGGTAGCAGTAAGACGTGAGACGGCGATGGGTGATGATGAAGGAGTTGAGGCTGTAGCATGGAAGGTGGATGTTGCGAGCATGAACGAGCCTGGATGGGGTGGTAGATGAGGTGACGTAGCACAGGTCTGGACATGTGTGACATCAGTGGGGTCGTGGATAGTCACATAGACCATTTCTGCTGTTTCTGACTTTGATAGCTTTATGAGTCGCTGCCAAGGACGTCCTAGAAGCAAGCAATAAGGTGCATCCGCGATAACGTAGGCATGTGCCCAGGTTTTAATGCCATCTACAGTGGCTCAAAAAAGTGTCTCAATGTTTGCACATTTTCATATAATTGCATCATTGTGAGCCAGAGTGTAGAAATATAATAGGGCTATAGGAACATGTCTGAATCC